ACCTCCACTCCATGCCCCGAGGCTGAATTCATCATTCCCATCTCTATCTCCTCTAGGAAATTTGGATTGTATATGGAAGAACTGGGGCCTGAGGGGATCCCTGACTGGTTTGGTGGAGGGTGTGGGAAGAATTGAAATCCGCAGGTCTCTGGGAACTGTGATTCTGCAATCTGTATTTGGGGTAAAAATGGGAGTTCATAACCCACTTGAATCTAATGTATGAAATATGATATGTTAAGAGCTTTGTAGTGTTTTGAACAACCAATAAAAAAAAAAAAAATTCATCTTGAACGTTGTTTTGTGCTATTCACATGAGAGACGCTAGGGGGCGACAAGCACTCGAGTAAAACGCTGCAGGCCCCATGGCAAGGCCAGACCTGGGTCAATCAGGACAAACRTGCTACAAGGCAGCCAGATGTCAAGGGCTGTGACCTCCTTTCCCCCAGCAGTGTTCAGCTTTGGAATGAGAGGTTGAGCTAGGGAAGACAAAGCCCTGCATTTGGCTTAGGGTAGGGCTGTGCCATTAATTCAGGAGGCCTGGTTCTAGTCTGCTTTCCAGCTGTGCAGACAGGGGTACATCCACTCCTGCTCTGTGGGCCTGAGAAAGGAGGGCACAGAAGGTTCCTCACATCCTTTCTCCCAATTTAGAGCAGCGGTTCTCCACATCTTCTTTGAAATGTGCCCTTTACCCAGAAATGAAGTTCATGGGTGATACAACTCATYTCCATACATCATTTAAAAGTCAAAATAAAGCTAATTATACTTAAAGATGGAACATACAGATAATGAAATATAATATCTTATAATGAATATAATRTCTTATATGAAATATAATATCTCTTAATATATAAATGCTCAGGCAAGACTTATCAGAAGACACCAATGAAATAGGCACATTGCTTGTACCTACACATAATAAATAAATAAGTTAGAACTTAAAGGAAACCGAAGGGGTGGAGGTGCTCAGTGGTAGATGTATTTTGACATACGTGCAYGAAGAATAACTTATTCTAATGARGATCCCATTCTTGAGGTTGTACATGGTGTGGGGTTACACTGGTCGTGTATTCATATATGAACACAGGAAAGTTATGTCCTATTCATTCCACGGTCTTTCCTATCATCCCCCCTTCCATTCATTCCCCTTTGTCTAATACAATGAATTTCTATTCCTCCCCCATATTATTATTATTATTATTATTATTATTATTATGTGTTATCCATATATCAGAGAGAACATTCAGTTCTTTTTTTAATATTTTTTTAGTTGTAGATGGACACAATATCTTTATTTTATCTATTTATTTTTATGTGGTGCCGAGGATTGAACCCAGGGCCTCATGCATGCGAGCAAGCTCTCTACCACACAACCCCAGCTCAGAGGTCTTGGGTTTGATTAATAAAAATAGAAGACTTAAGCCATTCTATGCAAAAACAAAACAAAATCACACACATAAAATGAAGCAGTAGTTTGYAAACACTAGAATATAAATGTTATTACCCTGTGAGGAGGGTGATAACAGACCAAATGTGCTGCCTGTAATGTGCTTCACTTTAAGTGAAGTAGGTGTGGCAAAGCAAGGCAAGACAGAGATGGCAAAGTGGAGATGAGGGAGAAGTACGAGGCACGTGCAGAGGAGCCGAATCTTACACGGTGTGTTGTCAGAATAGCTTCCTGTGCTGTGACCTTAAGGCGGGTCCTGACAGATGATCACAGATGCACACATCTGTCTTGAAATGCCATCACGTGCAGAGGTGTAATTCAATCTCCAGGWCCTTGGCAATCATATATTTCCAAAGGACGATCAGGAATAGAGGACAGAYGGGAAGGGCAGGGTGATAAGGTAGCTTAGAGCAATTGCATTCCGACCACCCTCGAGACAAACAACAGACAAATCCTCCCCCAGACATTTCCGCATGTGATTGTTACAACATAGGTGTTTGTCCTCRGGCAACAGAAACTTTCACCGCATAAAGGATGGTGAGAATATGAAATAATTTCTAAAAACTTTTATTAAGGAGATCCAGTGAGATCTCCCACATTTCAATTCTGTGACTTTTTCTCTCCACTCTTAAGTATTTCAGCCAGTCCCTGCCCCTTCTGCAACGCCCTACTGCACAGGAATATGTTCAACCAAACATATAACAGTCGAAGTGTGGCCAATGCATGGGGAAGATTATTTAATAATTTTAAGATGAAGTCTTTATTTCTCTTAATTTCTTTTTTTCTCTTTTTCCCTAATTTCCTGAGTCATTCATGAACTACTATTGGTGGAAGGGTACTGGCGATTGAACCCAGGGATGTTCTACCATTGAACTACATCCCAACCCTTTTAGTTCTATTTATTTATGGTCCCAGGGATTGGACCCAGGGGCACTCAACCACTGAGCCCCAGCCCCAGCCCTATTTTGTATTTTATGTAGAGACAGGGTCTCACTGAATTGTTTAGCATCTTGCTTTTGCTGAAGCTAATTTTGAAYTCAAGATCCTCCTGAGCCACTGCGATCACAGGSCTGCACTGCCGTATTCGGCTGTATTTTATTTTGGGGGTCTCACCAAGTTGCTGAGGCTGGCTTTGAACTTGTGATTCTCCTGCCTCAGCCTTCTGAGCCACTGGGATTATAGGCACATACTAAAATACCTACCTCACAAACTACTTTTAAAAACTCAAAAGCTTCTAAAAATGTTTTAGTAGTATTATAAAGCAGGACTGACTTCTCCAGTTGTCCAGGTATATGTGATTCCAGTCGTACATTCTAAAGCTGTGCAGGATGTGGGATGATTCTTTTGGAAATCTGTGTGTTGCTGTCACCAAAGGCCYGGCAGAGTTTTGCCCTCTTGTTGTTGAGATACCTAAGGCTCTCTTGCAAATGGCCAAAATGCCCCCTAGGGGGCGGTCTGACTCGGACTGAAACCCCTGGTAAGTGGAGAGGTTGGGCTCTAAGGTCAAAGCACCTGGGCTCCATCCCAACTCCGTGAGGCCTGGGGCATTCTATTTACCCTTTCCAAGCCTCAGTCCCTGGGGCAAGAATAGCACCAATGACATAGAGAAATGGGAGGACTGGTGGGTACCTACATGTGAGGCACATAGAGCTGATACCTGGCAAGTGGGAGACACTTAATAAGCCATTGTTATTACTATTATAATTACTATTGCTGCTTATTAATTCACCATTAATACACTGTGCCATGAAAGACCTCTCTCTTCTCAAGTTAGGGTTCTCGGTGTCCCCACAGAGGTAGAGAGCAGCGGCTAGGAAGCCTCCAGCCTCTATTCCCAGCAATGGGCCCACCTATGAACCCAGGAGAACTGGACCTCTMGGTTCTCTGGGCCCTGGAGCTGAGCCCAGAGGGCCTTACCCACAGCCCACCTCTTCAGGAAGGAGTATACCAGTCCTGGGGAGGGCTGGGGTAGCTCCCTGGGGCTCGGGGTACAGGGCCCAGCAGGGAAAGGACACTTCAGAGGACTCCCAGCCAGCTCTGAGGAAGTCTTCTTCCCGTGAAGGTGGACTTGGAAAACATTTGCCCCCGACGGTGGCTSGGGCCTTCCCACACCACCACCGCTGCTCCCTCACGATCGTAAGTGGATTTGAGCTTTCAACGTGTTTTCCAACTGTTTCCTCATTTGACATTCTTGAGGGCTCTTCAGGATGGTGGCTGATATCTTTCTCTTCYGGGAAACTGAAGAGCAGCAGGACCAGGAGCAGAACACCACACGCCTTCTCAGGTCACCTCACCCGGCAACGCGCCCATTCCACAGGGTAGCTGGCAAGGAGGGGCRGGGCGGGGCTGCCCCTGGTGGCCTGCTTGACCCTCAGGATCATGGTCATAGTGTTCTGGACACCACTCCTTAAAGGGCCTGTTGGTAGCTGCTCTTTCATTTGCATTTCCTGACTGTCGACCCCTATTAGAAACCTCAGTCTGGCTTATGGGGATCGGGGACAGAAGATGGAACTGGCAGGACCTGCTGCTGGCACAATCTCATCTGATCCAGGAGAAGAGAGCTGCTGGCTGGGGACACAGTGATGATCATGGGGCCCAGTGGCCTCCTGTGCAAGCCCCTGCTGCTGGCTCTACCAGGTGGGGACTGCAGATAGAGGCCTGGACCCCTGTAAAGTGCCAAGTTCTCCAAGGTGTCTATCTGGAGTCTACACCTGGTCCCTGATTCACAAAGGAATCATCAGGGTTTACAGCTCCCCTGGGGATGCTGAGAAACCCACAATATGAACGCCCACTCTGCTGGGGCTTTAGGGTGACAACAGGTGTCCAGAACTCAGCGTCAGCMGTCAAAGCCAAACCAACCAAAATCAGGACAGGGGAAGTTTGCCTTGCAACTCTATTTTTAGACATCCGGCCTAGGCCTGCCACTACCCGGGGCTCCTTCTCCTCTCCACCGTCCACCACATAGAATTTACCAGGCTTCTTGACTCATTCTGTAGAGTTCACACTGAGAAACCACTRAACACCTGCAAGGGATGGAGGCCTGGTAAAAACCGGGGTGATCTTCTGGTATTCCCCCAAATTGTACACCACCCCCACCCCAAAGCAGCTGTTGGAGGCACCGTATAGACTGAGGAAGGCTAGCAATTCACTTTCCTCTCCGACCTTCCTACCTTGACTCAGAGACAAATCAAGGAAGGCACCTGAGCCCGCGAAGCATCTGATGCTTCTGTTACACAGCACCTCAGCACAAGCCCCGATCTAGAGGCACCTGATTTGAAACGATGACACTGATGTCAGTACAGACTATTCCCCCGCTTGAGGGGAGAGGACGCTGTTCCAGAACTCTGGGATTCTGCCTGTGAGGTAGGTTGAGGAGCGCAGACGGAAGCCTGGGGAGGAGGGTGGACAACAGGCTTCCAGTCCCTCCCAGCCCCTCAGCTCTGCCCCCCTTTCCTAGACACTGAAGCCCGCACGGATAGGGAGTGGACACGCACACCATGTGTACAAACCATTCATTTTATTTCCTGTTGTTTATACAAACTTGCAAGATACAAATGCAAAACTCACAGGTATTCTCCAGTGCCTAAATCTATTAAGAATTCTGCTGAAAAGAGGGAACAAGCTCTCACCTATTTCAGTCAGTCAGGGCGAAATAGACAGATGCTATTTCAGCTAGCCAGACGCTAAGGGGGTACTACAGCTGTTTGGTCCCGACAGAKATGCCCTCTGTTTATCTAACCTTAACTCTTCATCTAAGGTCACTTTAATACTAAATAAAGACACTGAGATCATAAATTTCCTTGCATGGTTTATTGTCTAATACTAGGCAAATCAAATTGGCCCCAATATGTGCATAAATAGATATGTGTATGTATATATATTTATATATTATATTTTTCCTTAGTTTTAAGAGCTGCCAGGTGGAGGGTGCCTAAGGGGTAAGGAAGTCGTTCCATCTTGCTGTAGTCAGCCCTGCCCCAAGAAYATGCCTCTTGCAAAGGCAGAAGAGCTCGTGCACAGCTTTGCAACCTCAGAAAATTCTTTAAAGTGACAGTAGCAGTATTCGAGTGCAGCCTCTTGGTTATTGATCAGGGAGGTAATGTGCTAATTGGGAAGGCCCTAGATGCGTAACCAGAGCTTCTCCAGGATGGTCACTTAGCCCTGGGTCTCCATCTGGGCTCTGTTTGTTCATAGCAAGATGCTCTGAGCTGGGCACAGAGTGCCAGCAAGTGCCACAGTTGGAGGTTGGGCTTCAATGCTGGCCAAGAGCTCTGTGCAAAATTCCAAAACTCTCGTTTTTTAGATCTGGACAAAAACTCCCATCCTGCCCAAATCCTTCCAAGGCAAAAGCCTCCTTGCTCATTTTGACAGTCACCAAGCAGTTTGGAAGGCTGAGCTGGCAGAGTTCAGGGTCTCAGCAGCAGCCTGCTAGAGCCCAGGGGGTTTCTTGGGTAAGGCTGAGATGTCCCATGGTCCGCTGGACCCTCCCCAGCAAGGAARGTGATTTCACAGCCTGGATGCCAGACCGAGGTGTCACCCCTAAGAACAGCCTCCAGGGAGAAAGATCACAGAGGGAGACAGATGCCACAGACGTGACCCAGGACAGGGAGGGACCAAAGTGTAGGAGGTTCAAGGAACTTGAATGTGTCTGCAATAAAGAGCCACCTCCTCTGGGCTTTGCACATAGCATGGGTCCACCGATGACCTCTTTAGTGCCATTTAGCACAGGCTRCCACAAAACTGCTTGCCCTTTCCAGCAGAGCATGGAGGGGAGGGAGATGGTCCAGGAGCCCAGCYGAGGAGGGTGCGCCTGCGTGGGAGTCCATTTGTGCATACAACTGTAAACATTTCCTTCAAGAGGATTCACACACCCGACGACCCTTGGTGCGCCATGGAGAGTTGACAGTGTCATCCTTGAGACAGGACATCCAAAGGGAATGCCCTGCTCTGGCAAGGTGCTCTCCAGGGAGCTGTGGGGGCCAGCCCTTTGCCGACTGGGGGATGGGAAAGAAGGGAGCCGTCAGGGGAAGAGGGAAGGGCATTCGATTGGGACCTAGGGCAGTCCCCTCACATCACCGGCAAACCCATTCAGACATTGCACATTTTGAAAATAGATTGGCTTTTTAAACAAAAGCATAAAATAGATCTGTCTTAAAATAARTCTTTTCTCTCCCCTTCTTTGGATCAAAAAGGCAAGGGGGGTTAGCCCTGACATGCTAGGAAATGGTGCGGAGAGAAAATGGGCCTAGGCAGGAGCCAAGGAAAGGACTGACATCTAAACAAACATGTCACATAGATACCTCCAACATGTATCATCTCCATCAAACATATATTAAGGCATGTAAAGCAACATAAAGAGCCAGCTTTGTGAAATAATGGGAAAAGAGGTGGCAGAGTTGCGATGTCATTTCTTGGTATCTTCCTTGTATTTCTTTAAAAAAAATATAGGAGACAGAGGGGAAGGCATGGAGGGAAGGCCTGAAAAATCTGTTTCTTACAGAAGGAGGAGAATGTGGGCCAAGAGGGTGATCTGGAAGCTAATCCCACCTGCCAGACTGTAAGAGAGAAAGGACAGATCTGGAGTGCTTGATCTGCAAAGATAGGAACGTAGCCAAGGAGCCTATTCAAAAAGCCTGCTAGAAGTAAAGCTGGGGGAGGATCCTCCCAATCTGTCGACCCTCAGAAGCCCAAGAATTTTCTAAGCACCTAGAACAGTGCCTAAACAGTACATAAAAGGTRCTCGATCAATATTTGTTGAATGAATGGTCATCTTTACTTGCATATGAACCAGTAACTGTCCCAGCCATGAAGGAGTGGAGAGGAATTGGTGGAGATGAAGGAGTCGTTCGTGGGGCTGCTGCAGGTCAGGCTGAAGTCTCTGGGCAGCAGCTCTGGCAGAGAAGGCTCAAGGGCAGGTGACTTCCGCTTGCCCTCTCTCCCTCCTCCCTGGCTACATTCATCTCAAGGTGGGTGGAGCAGAAGAAGAATGCTTTGCTTCTGCCAATCCCCAACCGCCTCACTGGTAGGTGGATTGTAAGAGTCCAGCCTCCGCTGACCCTCCTCTGGGACACCTGGGACGAGAAGTAGGGTCCCCTCATTCCTTCTCCCTGGGGAAAACACTCAGCKGGGCCATAGAACTTTCTAGGCGGGATGGGACAAGAAACTAGCTAGCTAAGACCCCAAGGCTGACCACACCCGACACACACAGGTTCTTCCCTCTGCCCAATCCCAGGAGGGAGAGGCAGACAGCAGATCCTGACCCGGGAAGCGTCATCTCTCAGGCTGCCACTCCCYGACTCCCCTTCCCCACCAGCCCTGATCCCACACAAGCACCCCAGCTGAGGCACCAGACGTGTCCTGTTGGTGGGTCCTCCTGGGGAGGAGGTGGAGGTGCAGAGATGACCGTCTGGCCCTACACTCGGCACTAAGAGGAGCCTCYGCTGTGGAGAAGCCAATCCTGACTCACCTTCCCATTTTCCTCTGTCCCCCTGTGAATACCTCCTCCTCCCCTTCCCCGTCCTCTGAGGATCTCTCCCTTCCTCGCTGCCCTCCTTCCCAACCTGCTCTCAGACATGCGCACACCTGCCGTTCTCTCTCACAGCCAGCACTGTCCCCTCTGGGAGCCCAGGGGCCTCTCCCCATCTCTCCTCCTCTTGTCTTTGGCTCAAACAGGGTGACTGGTCTCCACCAAACCCCAGGAAGTCCCATCAGCGGAGATGTGTCAAAGCCTTGTGCCCAGCTGGGGCAGGCGGGGAGGGGGATGATGGCAGCTGCCGTCCTGGGTGCTCAGCGGGGCTCCAAGAGGCAGAGGGTCCACCTCCTCTTCACCTCTGGTCTTCACCTAAGATGGCTAAGGGTCCACRCTCCACCGGAGTGCACTCTCCATCAGGGAATGTGCCAGGAGGGCCACCATGATGTCAGCCAGGGCCAGGCTGGGGCTCCCTGCCATTTGGGCGTCAGAGAGGATGCACTTCCACAGCGCTGTCCAGGCCCCGCGTGACCTCGGCACGAGTGGCTAGGGTCTCAGGGCGAGGCGCCGCAGGTGCGAGACCCAGGCATCCGCKCTCCTCGTGGCAGCAGCCCTGACCCCGTTCTGGCTCCCGGTGGCATTCCCATGGGGGTCCGGGGACCAGAGTGGGGAGCCAGGGCCTCCATGGGCAGAGGACGCTTCAGAAGGTGGCCCTGTGGAGCTTCACAGCATTGGCCTCGGCCAGGGCTTGCACTAGAGAAGAGAGAAACGGGGTGAGAAGAGAAACGCAGGGCGGCGGCGCCTCCAGCCAACCTCCTCGGGCAGCAAGAAGCCCTGGCACTGACACTGCTGGAGCCTGCCCACCCGCAGCCCCGGGAGGGCGCTCTGGAGAGGGGCTCTCTTCCACTTGCCTGATGTGAGTGGCCGTGCTAGGGGCAGGGAAGGGCACCAGCCCTGGGCTGTGGCTACCAGGGGCATTTTCATTCACAGTAAGACTGGGACATGGAGACGGGACAGCTTCKGGGGGCTTGTGAGGGTTCTGTGGCAGGACGGCCATGGATCTCARCAGATGGAAGGCTGGCTGGCTGGTGGGAGGAGGGTGGTGGGACAGGAGAGGGCCACGGGGTGGGGGCACAGGGGCAGGGGTATGGAGTAGGGACACAGGAGTGGGGGTGTAAGGGCAGGGAGAGAAGAGGTGAGGGAGCAGGGAAGAGGAATCAGGGGTGGGAGGTACAAGGTGGGACACGGCGGGGGGCAGAAATAGAGGTGAGAGGTGTGGGGTGGGGAATAGGGGTGAGAGGTTAGGGGCAGGAGGATAGAGGTGAGGGTGATGGGTTGGGGGAACATGGGTGGGGGTATAAGGTGGGGGCACAGGGTCAGGGAAACAGGTRGAGGTACAGGGATGGGGTGCCAGGGAAGTGCCTTCCCCCACAGCAGATGGGCGAGGTCTCAGCGCCGTCCCTTCTGCTTCTGGGGAAGCGAAGCCCACGGGCATCACCACCTCCAAGAAGCAGCCTCRCCAGCAGCCTGCAGCCAGCACTGCCCGGGTCGCCACGCAGGTGGCGCAAGCAGRTGGAGGGAGGGATGATGCACATGGGGCTCTGGGATGGGGAGAAGCAATGCGGGGTGGGATGGGAGGGGGAGGGGRCTCCGTGGGGTGATGGGAGGGGCCTACCCATTCCCTGGGGGTGGGGGCGAAGGACAGTAGAAAAGTGCTTACGTCAGARCTCAGACCCGCATGGTAAGGCTGCTGTCGGCGCCCCGCGGGCATTCAGACGACAGGGGGTTGGCTGGTGGAGTCGGGGAGGCAGGGGAGGTGGGAGGGCTTGGGGTGGCACATTGCACTGGAAACAGAAATGAACAGGGGAGTGAATAGGGGCGATGGGGTGGGGGCGAGGCTGGGGACCCAGAGCAAGCGAGGCCCTTCCTCGGGCAGGGAGCAAGGCGGGCYGCAAGCAGAGAGAAGAGCCGAGCTTGGGAGCTTGCTCAAGCTGAGGCAAAGCTGTCCTTGTTCTCAGGGTGCCAAGGAGCAGAGTGAGGCCCTAGAGGAGACCTGGCCAAATCCAGGCTCTGCTAAGAACCAGTGTGACTATGGGTGAGGCTGGGCCCTCTCTGGGCCAAAGGCTCCCTTCCCATCCACACAGTGGGAGGGTCACATACCTCTCCACCATTGTGCAGTGAGAAAGAGGATGTGATGTGGAGCTTTATATATATGGTGGCATCACTAAAGATAATGATTCATAGTGCAGTAAAATCACAATAATCCAAACAGTCAGAGCAGATATAGAAGAGAAAGGACCACCATGACAATCAGTTCCATGAACCTGACATTTTCTGATTGATAGGCTGAAAGCCAGGTCTGCCTAGACATGGTGGGAGGCTCAGAAATGCACTCCCCCGCAACCACCTGAGACCCTCACTGCATCAACAGGKGAAGGCGAACTGCAGTCCACCCTTGAATAAGTCGCAAACTTGGAAATGGTGACGTTTGGATTAATGAGATTCTACTCTATTATCATTATCACTCCATGTTGAGAACAACAAAGTGGAAAGACAATGAAAAGGAGAGTCATATCCCTGGGGACAAGCTCTATGCAGTCACCGGAACCTCACGCATCCTCAGTGTAGGAGGATGGCAGAGAACATGTCCCCGCTTGGGCTCAGAGAAGAACCAGACCTCAGCCAGGGTCACACTGCATTTCCACCAAGAGGGATGCAATGCTGAATGGAACCCAGTCCCTTGCTCCCCACCCCGGCCTGGACCTCATCGCCATTGTAGCTCTCGCTACTGCAGAGCTGCCCTTAGCCACGTGTGTACATGACCCAACGTAGCTCTCACAGGGAGTTTGTGCCTACATGCYATCCACAGCTTGGGTCTGGGACTTGGCAACACCATACAGTTACACTCCTTGCACACAACTCAGATATGGGAATGTCTGTGCACGTCCAAGCCCCTGTCCTTCCATGTGACCCAACACACAGTTGTAACGCCATGTACAAATGCATTCACAAATGCTTCCAAACATCCATTTGCGCACATATTCAYATCACTGAGATAACGTGGTAAGTTATCTCAACTCTGACAGCCAAAACCTAAACAACTAAGCAAGGAATCTCTTTTTGTTTTTTAAATTTTATTTTTTASTTGTAGTTGGACACAATACCTTTATTTCACTTATTTATTTTTACGTGGTGCTGAGGATCGAACCCAGGGTCTCGCACGTGCGAGGTGAGCGCTCTACCRCTGAGCCACAACCCCAGCCCAGGAATCTTTTTCTTTTTTTTTTTTTTTTTAACTTTTTTGTTACTGGGGATTGAACCCAGGAGTGCTTTACCACTGAACTATATTCCCAGCCCTTTCTGTTTTTTCTTTTGAGACAGGGTCTTGCTAAGTTGTTGAGGGTCTTACTAAATTGCAGACGCTGACCTCAAATTTGCAATCTTCCTGTCTCAGCCTCCTGAGTTGCTGGGATTATAGGTGTGCACCACCACACCCAGCCGGCAAGGAGTATCTCAAGGGAACCAAGWAGATGTTACCATGTACATGCAAATGGGGTTCTTATAATTGACTCCTGGGAGAGCCTGGCAGAGTCCAGGTTTTTGTTTTTTTTTGATGGAGTTGGTGTGGGGGCTACCAGGGATTGAATCCAGGGGCACCAGACCACTGAGCCATATCCCCAGCCTTATTCTGTATTTCATTTATAGACAGGGTCTCACTGAGTTGCTTAGCACCTCGCTTTTGCTGAGGCTGGTTTTGAACTTGTAATCCTCCTGCCTCAGCCTCCTGAGCTCCTGGGATTACAGCCGTGTGCCACCACACCGGACCAGTTAGTCTTATTTATACACAATTCCAGTAGGTGTTGTCTTGCTGGGGTTTTGGCTTGAAGATTAGAACCAGAAAATTGGAAAAGAGAGAGAGAGAGAGAGAGAGAGAGAGAGAGAGAGAGAGAGAGAGAGAGAGAGAGAGAGAGAGAGAGAGAGAGAGAGAAAACAGTTGAGAGCCTCATGGAATCTGCAAGAAGATACAACTGAAGAGTGAAACTCTTTTGTAAAAAGTAGACATAATAACTTTAAAAATGTAACAGGAGAACACTTTGCATGGCTACAAATAGATTTAGAGCAGCCCCTAAGAGCATCCCTTTAATAGAGGAATAAGGAAAATAAGGATATTTACAATGATATGAAATGAAGAAGAAAAGTTAATGGTRTAAATATAACCTTTTTAAGAAGGCAGAAAAATGCTAAATCTGTACTAGAAATACATATATATATATATATATCAAAATAGTTAAAATTCCTCTGTGTGGCCAATATGTACTGGACAGATGGAATAGTACAATGTGTGTAGTCCTAAGTTCCGTATCCAAGCAAAGAAGACTAGTTGCATCACATCCAGGAGACTGGCTGGCTCTCATCTTGCATAGACACACGATCACAATCTTGTACAGTACACAGCGTATACACCAACAGGCTTCATCACTGTGCTGCACAAAAAGCCAATCACACATAAATACATGCACTCGCAAACTACRACCTCCACCTGTATATGGTACACTCACGTGCAACCACCACTTGTAAAAAACAATCCTCCACCCAACACCTAGGGACGTTTTGCACACACATATTCACACACATACATACTTCTCTATTCACTCAAACCTTCTCTCCACCCACACGCTGCACATTCTGAATACACACAAATACACACGTCCATAAACATTCCAGACACAGACGCTGCACACGATGGGCCACACGTACAAACTCTGAAAATACCACACAAACTCTGAAATACCACACCTTCTCACGTAGCACACACCTGACTCTGTGTACTGGGAGGAGCTACAAACATGACCACACTCATCACCGAAGACACTACCTGTGCTGCACACCCACAATCAGGCACAGGTGTCTGCTGCTCACTGTCCTAGCRACCTGTACCCAGTTCTCCACTCCCGCCACTGTGTCCTGGTCATGAACCTAATGCCCACGCTGCATGTGCCCAGGACCAGCCCTTGCTCTGGGGGATCTGGGCCGCAGGCCAGGATTGGTGGGGACAGTGAGCTAGGTCTGAGGTCTGGCCCTACCACAGCCATTTTTCACATAGTTGGGGTTTTGGCAAAAGCAAGTTGACCATTTGCTTTCAGCACACAGACCCTGAAATGTAAGCCCGAGTGTGTGGAGGGGGAAATCGGATAGGCTGGGCGGGTTTGTTTTCACGGAACCCTGGGCTGGGGAGCTGCAGCAGAGAGAGCCAGGGCTGAGACAGGGCAGAGTGGGGTTTTCAACAGCATTGTGTGCTCTGCCCTCTGGAAACAGGAAGTTGCCTTTTGCCCAGAGCATGTGGAATTTGATCTTGGGTCAAGTTCATTTTGCAGCTAAACTACAGGAAGGTTCAACAGAGGCCTCCCTGCTTGCAGACAAACTGGTTCTGCTGCCTTTTGGCTGCAGGAAGGCGCTCCAAAGCCATCCTTCTCCTCCCCTCAGCTCTAGCCCAGCAGACAGCCTGTCCCTGAAGTACCTGGGGGCCTTCCCTGGCTACCCAGACTAAACTTCTCTCTTTTTTGGGGGGTGGAGTACTGGGGATTGAACCCAAGGGCACTTAATCACTGAGCCATATCCCCAGCGCCCCCCACTCCCCCGGCCCTTAAAAAAAATTTTAGATATAGGTTCTCACTAGATTGCTTACAGCCTTGCTAAGTTGCTGAGGTTGACTTTGAACTTGTGACCCTCCTGCCTCAGCCTCCTGAGCTGCTGGGATTACSGGCATGTGCCACCACACCTGGCTCATCCAAACCTGACAGGCAGATTCTTCCTTAAGGCTTATTTAAATACCTTTTGTTGTGGCCTGAAACCCTCTGATTTCTGAAAATAGCCATATTTAAAATAATTAGAAAACCAACAGGTGGTTCACATTTTGATGCCAGTGATTGCTAGTTTCAACTACTCCCACCAGTGTCACTAACACCACTACCACTATCACGGCGACGACCGCTGGCTGGCATTTATTGAGTGCTAGGAGCCTGGCACACCTCGCTTCTGACCCTCATGCGGCCTGAACTGAGGTAGGCATTTTGATTTGGGTTTCACAGATGAGGAAACAGCCTCGGAGCACCAGAATTGGAGCCCTTCTTAATCACCAACCGGAACCTCCCTCCATGCCTCCGTGTCCCTTGCCACGATTCTCATCCGCTTATTTCCTGTGTCCTGCCCAGCCTGCACTGCAGTCCCACTCTCCTATACCAGTCACCTCAAGCCACAGCTCCCTCCTGACTGGGGCCTTCAAGGTTCKCTTTGTCTGGAAGGGGACAATCTCCAGTCTACGTGACTTGCTACTCTCTGTCCTCCACCTCTACCCTCCCATTCATACAGGACTGACTTCCTTCTTCAAAGCCTGATCACACCCTCATCTGTTCTGGGACACTGTCTGCAGCTAACCAAAAGCTAATCCTTCCCATTCATACAGGACTGACTTCCTTCTTCAAAGCCTGATCACACCCTCATCTGTTCTGGGACACTGTCTGCAGCTAACCAAAAGCTAATCCTGGTGACTTCGCCCCTATCACGTCTAGCTGGGACCTTTGTAAGGGTGTGAAGTCACTTCCTCATCCTCACCTTTTCTTGGCAGGAAACTGGGTTTGGTCAGCAGCCAAGGAGGTGATTATATGACTTTCCACTCCTTGACTGCTTCTCTGTGTAAAAATTCTTCTGTTTTATTCTTCCTATTTGCATTTAGCAAGAACAGGCAGGGAAAGGATATGACGCTTTTTTCCCCCTACTGGCAAATACCTCTCCCATCAAGCTGCATTATCACTCTTCTCTGTGCCTTGACCTGACCTGCCCAGACAGAATGGCCCCTGTGCTCCTGCTGGCCTCTGACCACTCCTCCATGAACTGGCTCAGAGGATCATCAGCATCGCCAGCCCCTTTCCACTCCCCTGGGCCTAGCACAGTACCTGGTGCTCAATAAATGCTCACCCTGACCTTGGGGAACATCTCCTTAGCCTCCTACCTCTGTCCCTGCCCCCCTTGCGGCTCAGCACTTCCTCCCCTACACCTGGTCAGCTGGTCTCCCTGGTGGAGCGAGCGAGGCCCAGCCCCTCTCACCAGACAGCATGCGGCCCCTGCGGGAGGCCTCGGTCGCCAGGGCGCAGGAGATTTCAATCCGCTTCTCCTGCTCCTGCAGCTGGCTCTCTGAGTCCTGGGGCACGTCCACAGAGTCCCCCTCGCCGACGGGCACCACGTTCTGCATACTGAAGAGGCACAGACACACAGACATGGAGGGAGGGACAGCATGGTCCAGTTGGCTTGGGGTGGCCTGCAGGCTGAGGTTGGCGGGCAGGGCCAGGGACCTTCCAGGATATATCTGGTGCCCAGCAAGGCTGTCCCTAGGAGTGAGTGAGTRGGACCCTGGCAAAACAGTTGGGACCCCTGCCTCGATGTTTTCAACTGAATTCAAAGGTTCAAGTGAACACTTAGGGCAGCCTTGAAGGGGAAGAGAGGTCAGCAGAGGGCAACCCTTCATGGTATGTGTGTGAGCCCCGMGGGCCTTTCGAGGGCCCCACAGCAGCGTCCTGGCCCCTGTGAGATTYCTGAGTCCGGCCCGCTGCCTCGAGCCACGCTTCCATTTGCTCTACCCTGGGAGGCTCAGTGCCCCCGTGACATCTAGTGCCCCAGGTGTTCTCGGTGCCAGGGAGGGCAGAGGCAGTGGAGCTCCACCCAGACCTGCTTACCTGGATTTGGCAATGAGCGTCTTGATCCTTTCCACCTTCTTCTGCTTCTCCTTCAACTCCTCGGGGCTCAGGGGAGTGTCGGGTTCCAGGTCAATGTACCGTTCGGGGATGAGGACTTTGTCTGGGGTGGAGAGCTGTGGAGACGCTGGGGTCACCCCTTTGATCTGCTCCCAGGGTCTCCCTGCTGGGGGCTCCACCCACCTCCTTATTGATGTCCACATCGTAGTGCTGGGGCTCCAGCTCCATTTTCCGAAGCCGGGCAATTTCCTCCCGGGGCGTCTCATAGGCCTGGCCACCAGGCTCCTCTGCCCGCAGGGCTGCCTCCAGGTTGGAGATGTCCACCTCGTGGATGCTGCGGTGACGGCGCACCTAGGGGACAGCCCTGTGGTGACCACCACTGCTACTTATGCCTCCAGGCAGCTCTAACCACACCTAGATCCTCACTGTCCTTGACCAGTGTACATTTGGTCTGACTGCCACCCCATGGCTCCCACCGTCCTCCACTGCAGAGCCCTCTCCCTTCCCTTCTGTTTTCCCAAAGCCTGCCCACCTGCAAGGTCTCATCCATATCTCTTGTCAATACTAGCCACTCCCAACCCTGCTGTCTCCTGTCYTCACATGCTGCACCCAATGTGTTAAAAGGCTTTGAATGAAACGACTTGATCTGTGAACTGCATTGCTATGGTRCCCGTCTTCAGGATGCCCAGCTCCATGCTAAGCACATAGAGGAGTCTCCAGAAATGTGCCCTAGTGGTGCCCTAGTGGTGGATTCTCCACTAGCTGAACTTTGCATAATTTATTTCAACAAAAATAATCATTTTTGTGCATTATTTTTCTTTAAAGGTAAACAGGAAACATTCTGCCCTGTGGTGAGAAGCCTCCCCCCAGTTATCGCAGGAGCCTGGCTTGGGTTCTCTCAGCTTCCCCTCTCCCTAACCTTCCTGGCACAGGCTGGCCGTGGCCTGAGAGCTGGCAGTGTGGGTAGCTGCCAGGCTTGGGCCTGTGGGGGCAGGGAGCACAGTACCACTTTGTAGGCAGGTCGGGTGCTGGGCTCAGGGGCAGGGCTGGCTGGGAGCTGCAGGCTTCTCCGCTTCTCCTTCATGGAGCCACTCTGGTGTCTCCGCATGCGGTCGATCTGCTCCTCCACGCTCATCTTGACCTTGCCCTCACCTGGGAACACGGCACTCTTGGGGCGCTCCTGCTGCAGTGGGGAAATAAGGCTGGGACMGGTGCTTCACCTCCTGCCCGGGTTTCCCTTCTATGGGAAGCCTGACTACAGTGGGTTAAACAGTGGTCCCCAAAAGACAGGCCAAGCCGGGCAYGGTGGCACACACCTGTAATCCCCATGGCTTGGGAGACTGGTAAGTTCAAAGCTAGCCTCAGCCACTTGTTGAGGCACTCAGAGACTCAGTGAGCCCCTGTCTCTAAATAAAATACAAAATAGGGCTGGGGATGTGGCTCGGTGGTGGAGTGCCCCTGAGTTCAATTCCTAGTACCAAAAAAAAAAGACAGGAAAAAGTCCTAACTCCTGATACGTGAATATAACTTTACTTGAAGTATAAATCATTGTGAATCAGAGCAGMCCCAYGTCCAGTAACAGGTGTCCTCATAAGAGACAGGAAAGAAGATGACGCAGAGGAGAAGATGGGAAGATGGAGGCAGAGATCAGAAATGCCAGGCACTGTCAGCAATACCCACAGGCCCGGAGAGAGGCCCAGAGCAGATTCTCTCTGGGAGCCTCCAGAAGGAACCAGTCCTAACCAGTCCTGCCAACACTTGATGTTGGACTTCACATAAATGAGAGAATAAATTTCTATCTTTTTAAAGTTTGTAAAATATTTTGTATTTTTTCATGTGTTCTAATTAGTTGTACATGACAGACTGCATTCTGACACGTCATACATAAACGGAGTACAACTTCTCGTTCGTCTGGTTGTCCATGATGTAGAGTTAAATTTCTATGGTTTTTTTTYCTCTCTTTTTTTAATGTTTTTTTATTTGTAGATGAACCCAATACCTTTATTTATTTATTTTTTATGTGGTGCTGAGGATCGAACCCAGTGCCTCASATGTGCTGGGTAAGTGCTCTGCCACTGAGCCCCAGCCCCAGACCCTCCACGGTTTTAAGTCACCCAGTAAGTGGTAGTTTGCTCCTGGAGCCCTAGAAAATTAGCACAGATTTTAGGTGCTAGGAAATGGATGCTATTGTAAAAACAAAACAAAAACAACAACAAAATAATAAAAATGTGGAAGAAACTTAGGGGATAATGGGTAGCGGCTGAACAAATTTTGAGGTGAATGATAGAAAAAGCCTAGTTTCCTTAAAGAGATGACTGGTGCAAATAGGGACTTTGATGAAGATTCTGGTGAGGGTGTAGAAGAAACGAAGAGAAGAGAAAGCTTCTGTTGTCTTTAGAGAATACAAGTTTCATCGTGAACAGAAAGTTGATAGAAAATGGAGGTTGAAGGTGCTTCTGGAGAAGTCTAGCAAGGAAATGAGGAACAAATTACTGGAAAGTAGAGGACAGGACATCTTTGTGACAAAGTGGCAGGCACTCTGCTGACTTGTGTCCTGTTGTTGAGTGGAGAGCAGAACTTAGAAGCGATCCCCAGTAAAGTGGTGAGGTTGTGGCCTGATTCTCTTTGCACTTGTGATGAGAGAAGAAAGAGATTAATTGAAGGAGAAGAGGTTAGGCCAAAATAAACCTGCACTTTATTATTTGGGAGGTTCTCACTTAAATTGGGGAAATTCCCTTTTGGAAAAGTATTGCCAAGGCAATCAGGGGCTGGGGTTGTGGCTCAGTGGCAAAATGCCTGCCTTGCACATGTGAGGCACTGGGTTCGATCCTCAGCATCGCATAAAAATAAAGATACTGTGTCCAGGTGTAACTAAAAAATAAGAAAAAAGAAAGAAAGGAAGAAAGGAAGGAAGGAAGGAAGGAAGGAAGGAAGGAAGGAAGGAAGGAAGGAAGGCAGGCAGGCTGGCAATCAAAGATGTGGTTGGACAAGACTTAGCTGAATAGATTAGGTGTGGGACTCATGAATCCAATCCACCATCTCAGAAACCAGAATCAGAGATGGGATTATCCAGAAAGGCTCTGTAGAATCTTCTAGCGGCATGGATCCCCTTGAAATACCCAGGAACCTACCTGTGCTTTTGAGAATGTTGTATCAGCAAACATACTTGCTAGTGTGTAATAAAAGAGAGAGAAAAGGTGTGKGGGGAGGTCAGATCTCTGGGATCCTACAGGTAGGAAATAGGCTAATAGAGTTCCTTGGCCACAAACTTGTGCCAAGAAAAAGGAAGAAGGAGCCAGGTGTGGCCCAGGCCCTGTGATCCCAGCACCTTGGGAGGCTAAGGCAGGAGGATTGCAAAGTTTGAGCCAGACTAGGCAACTTAGCAAAATACTGTCTCAAAATAAAAATAAGTAGGGCTAGGATGCAGATAGTGGTAGAGCACTCTGGGTTTAATCCCTAGATATCTCTGTCTCTCTGTCTCTCTCTCTCTCTCTCTCTCTCTCTCTCTCTGTCTCTCTCTCTCTCTCTCTCTCTCTCTCTCACACACACATACACACACACAGGAAGACTGACTCTAAAAGCAAACCAGAGGGGCAGTCCTAGCAGCCAGGGTGGACAGAACCCTCATCAATACAGAGGGAAGGCTAGCGAGCCACAGATCATTCTCAGGTCTTAAAACCTAACAAGGGCAGGGAGTGTAGCTTGATGACAGAGGGGGGGCCTAGCATGCACAAGGCCCTGACTTTGATCCCTAGCACTGAAAAATACATGCACACTTACATACATACCTACTGGAATTTTCCTTGTTGGATTTCAGACTTCCTTGGGACTAGTAATTCCTTTATTCCTTTTAATTTCTCCTTTTGGGGACAGGAATGACTACCTTTTACCTGTCCCATTATTTATTGTGTTTTGGAAGCTGATTAGCTTATTTCTAGTTTCACAAGAAGACAGGAATTTTGCCCCAAGATTGATCATATTATTGTGTTTCACACATACTTGATAATCAAGATGACTTAGATGATGAAATTGGGACTTCTGAGCTAATGATATTTAGATGAGATTCTAGACTTAGAGTTGATGCCATGAGTAGATATTTTTGGGGATATAGGAATGGAATGGATGGATTTTGCAAGTGGAATGGCATAAAACTTGGGAGTACAGTTGTTGAATAGTAGCCTTCCTAAAACATGCCTAAGCATTAACCCTCAATGGGTGACTACGATCTTATTTGTTTGTTGTTGTTGTGGTACCGGGGGATTGAACTCGGAGGGGCTTAACCACTGAGTCCACATCTTCATCCTTTTTTAAACTATTTTATTTAGAGCCAGGGTCTCACTGAGTTGCTTAGGGTCTTGCTAAGTTGCTGAGGCTGGCTTTGAACTCACGATCCTCCTACAACCTTATTTGGAAATAGATCTCTGCAGACATAATTAAGAATCTGAAGATGAGATCATTATAAATTAGGGTGAACCTTAAATCCAATGGTAGATATCCTTCTAAGATATAGAAAAAGAGACACCCAGAGGAGAAAGTGACATGGAGACAGAGGCTGGACTAATGTGTCCACAAGAGAAGGAAACGAAGGATTGCCAGGAGCCCCCACAAACTAAAGGAAGGGTGTGGAATGGGCTTTTCCTTAGAGTGTCCAAGGTACTGACACCTGGACTGGAGACTCTGGCCTCCAAACTGAGAGAATACACTTGTCTTACACCACCTCACGTGCGGTTTTCAAATTCCCCGGAGCCCCAGGGAACAAATGCCCTGCCTTGGGTCAGCACATTTGACTGTGACCTCTGGTTTTTGCCACTTTTCCTCTATTTTATTTCACCAATGGCATGTGATAATTTCATTAGGAATTATATTTATGATGTCCATCTTCCCTGTCCCTTGACATGAATTCCTAAAGGGAATCTTGCTCTACACCTTTCTCCCCTAGCCCTAGATTTTTGGAACAGTAATGGAAGATGGTGGACGCTCACAGCCCGGGGCTCAGAGACCAGCACAGACCCACACCAGCTCAGAGTCAGGTCATGGACTCACCCTGGAGGACAGTCCATTGGCGAGTCCATTGGCTGTTCTCCTCACCACCGCTGATGGGGCCGCCTCTTCATCTGCAGGTGACTTTGTCCGAGGGGGTACAATGCCAACTGCAGGGAGGCAAGAGCAGCCCGTGGGCCTCGTGCCGAGCAGGAAGRCAGGGAGGCTCAGTCTCACTCGAAGCAGGCTACAGGCCCAGCTGGGTCAGCGCTCTCCTCAGGTCTAAATGAGYCTCCAGGGCTCCTCTCCCACCCTTAGCCTTACCTCTGGGGGAAGATGTCCCAGAAAGTACCTTTGTTGAGAGCTGCCTGCTTCTCTGCCTCCACCTCTTGTCTGGTGGGCACAAGGCTGAGATCTCTGGGGGTGTCCAGGGGTGACGTTTGGTGAGGGTCTTTCTTGCTCTGCTCATAGCCTGCCTTGGGCTGGGGAGGAAGAACGAGAAGGTGGTTGATAACAGAGTGGCTGCTGGGAATTTGGCCCCCCGTGACGCTTCTTTATTTTGCAATGACTGGAGCTCACACTCTTAAAGACACAGGGAACAGGGAGATATGTGTGCCAGTAGGGGAGTGGCCATGACGCACCGGAGATTCCTCCCCGTGCATTTCAGGCTGATAAACCTGGGGCCAYCTTGGGGAATAAGCACTTAGGGCCTCCAAAAGGGCTTATTAGGGTGCATAGAGAGGCCCTCAAACTGACCAGTTGTCATGACAAGTTCTACGCAGCACAGACTTGCTGTGAGCCAGGGTCAAGGAATGGCCAGAGGAGGGGGCTGCAAAGCCTAGGGTCTCTGAGGAATCTGAAGATTCCACTTAAGACTGTGGCAACCAGAACCCAGTGGGCCTGGGTACTGGGATTCTGGGGGAAGGAAAGGGGCATTCGTTATGGGCTCACAGAATCATGAGGCTAGAAGGGACCTCGGATATCATCTGAGCCACCTCCTCCCATTGTTCAGTGAATAATCCAAGTCTCAGTGAGTAGAATTTGGAAAGACCAGGCTAAGAGTCAGAGACCTCAGCTCTAGCCCAACTGGAGRGCATGGGTAAGATCCATCCCCTTTCTTTGCCCGTCAGATACAGGTAACATTACCTGCTTTGTGCACCTCACTGKGAACTCTCAAGAGTTACACAAATTACGCGGAGCTGAGCTTAGATGAGCACATGGATTTCCAATTTTAGGCACAGATGTCTTACCACATGACCTCTTCCAAGCCTAATGCCCATCTCCTGGATCTTGGCTAGGAATCCAGGTGAGAGAAGAGGCCCAAACAGGGGAGAAGAGGGCCCATCTAGGAGCTCAGACCCAAAGAAGACAAGACGTGACAGAGGCAGAAAGGAAACACAAAAGGCTGGCTCTGAGTGGACAGGGACTGAGATGGCACTGGGGGTGAGTGTTGCTCAATTTCCTTTGGGGGGTCGTGTTGGTAGGGAGTGGGGCATGATGACATCAGCGTTGACAACCTTTGTTGCCTGTGAGCCTGGGGTCARAGTGGGGCAGCACCTCATTTCCCCACCGTCCACAGAGAACAAAAAAGGGAAAGGTCACCTGTGACTCTCAAGATCTTTTCTTTATCCCAGAGTCCAATGGGGTAGGGCCTAGTGGTAATTGAGCTTTGGAAAAATGAGTGAGGAAAACAACCCCAGGGCCTTGCATTGACCCCTGGCCTTGGCCCTTTGCCCTGTTCTCCCCTGTCCCCAYCCCTCCAGAACCCAAGGGTGCTGGGTACCTGACCCCTGGCTGTCTCGCCACTKCGGTGCCAGGAAGGGGAGTTGGGGTATGGCCAGAAGCGGCTCTCGCTAGGGAGTGGAGGGACGGTGGGAGGAGACTCCAGGGGAACGTAGGCTTTGGGGAGGGGAGGCCGAGGTGGGCCAGGTTCCTGTGTCAGAGAAGCCAGAGCATTAGGAGGAGCAAGAGCAGCCACTGTGAGAGCAGGARAGAAGAGCATTAGCAAGAGCCAGACATTAATCATTACAGGAAATGCAGGATGGGCCCAGGACATGGGGAATCCCTCCCCGGGGCCTAGAGAGAGCGCCAGCTCCACAGCGGAAGCTCCACCTGGCCTTCTAGGCCCTCCTCAACCGAGCCCCCACCCRCCCGCCACTCCCCTGACTCCCACTTTTTCTCCAGAGCTCTCCCCTCACTCCCCTCCCTTTGCTTCCGCCATCTCTCCTGCCACAACACCTCTTCCTTGTCCCTCTACCTTTCCAAACACTCACTGGCCCAGTGACGTTCCACCTGCCTTTGGTTCCCTCCCTTCCTTTGGAGTATTCAGGGCATTTACGGTCTGAACCCCAGGGCTCAAGACCACACCGCCCTGTTTGCTAACTGAGTGTCTGTCCCTGCTGGATGCTGGGCTCCCCAAGTGAAGTGAGGGAACCTGGGTCATCATGAGTGTCTTCCCGAGAGGGCCTGATCCCACCCCTGCTGCCCAGAGCTCTCAGGAGCACCTGCTGACTGACCAGGAAACCGCTTCCCACACGGAACCTGCACCCGGCCACCCCCAGAACACTCCCAGGTTTGCCTGCTGGTCAAGGGCAGGGGATGGTTGCTAACTATCCTGGTGCTCAGGAAGCCGAAAGGGGGCTGAGGAGGAAATGAGAGCAGATGCAGAGGGAGGCCACAGGACCAGCTGTGAGAGGGACCCCCTGAGAGAAGGGCCAAAGCACTGGGACTGGAGCCTCTGCGGGAGAGACGGGCACCGACTTCGGGCGACTTTGGGGAGATGAGGATGTGCCCCTCCCTCCCCGCCTACCTGTGCTCCGTCTCTTCAGCTTACCTCATTGGACCCCGGCTTGGTGGGGGACCCCTGAGAGCCAGACACCAGTGAAAAGGGGCTCAGGGGGCTGGTGAGGCTGGCGGAACTGAGAGGGCTGGCTGGGCTGTTGGAGCTGTAGGTGGCTGAAGGGCCGAGTCCTCCTGGGGGGAAACGGAAGGGGAGAGAGGTGAGGCATGGAGCAGAGGCGGGGCCCGCTGTGCACATGGGGGATGCAGGAGGAGGAGGRAGACCCGAGGCTGAGATGTGAGAGGGAGGACCATCCAGCCCTGCTGCAAGAGACTCACTAGAGGTGGCTGGGGTCACAGGCTGGCTGTCAAGAGGGRCCCTGAGCAAGGGGGTGGTAGATGGAGCTGTCACTGTGGCCTCCAAGGTGTCAAAAAAGCCAGCCTGAGGGCCCAGGGCTCAAAGAAAGCACTAGGGGAGAGGTCACCAGTGGGCCCAGGTGTGGTCAGGAGGCTCAGGGGTGCTTTGACCTTTCCTGGGGAGGATTGTAGGGCATCTGGGTCAGCAGGGCCTCTGAGTGGTCTACCTGGGGGATAAGGGAGCCCAGCCTACCACCCTAGGATTCAGGGGAAGATTCTGGAACCCTGAGAAGGTCCCCACTGGCTCTGAGCACAGAGTGAGCTGGCAGGTGTGAGATGGAGGCCAGAATCGCTGGAGCACTTCTAGAGAAGCATGAGGCCCAGGAGGCTCCCACCTCTGTGTTTGGCGGTATCCGTGCCCCGGGAAGGGTTATTCTTCCGCAGCCCCTCCATCACATCCTGGATCCTCCAGATCTCCTTCTGGATTTGCCGGTTGAGCACCTCATTCTGAAACAATTGCAGAGTGGGTCAAAGGACATAGCTCTAAGGGGTGTCTGTCCCTGCCCTCATCCCCAGCCCAGAGCCCTGGACCAGCACCTCTCTGGACTCACAGGAGGCAGCGGCCCTGCCTGCAATGGGCATGTACACACAGCCTCTCCCGCATGGGCCTCCTTCTCATGGGGAGCCTTTGATTCTTTGGCTTGCGTGAAACTGTGTCCCCAGAATTGCCAGAGCCTCAGAACCAAGAGTGACAATCGACCCTTCTGGGCTCCTCCATGGCGCATCAGGGTAGACTGAGGACGATGCCCCCATATGTGGTAGCCTGTTTTCTGTGTGTTTTTCTTCACCTCCGAACAGTCCTTTTGTAACACCCTCACCTAACGCACCCTACAGCCATGGAGCACCCTCAGCGCAGGTTGTACTGCAGAAGACGACAGCACCCCTCATGCCGCATCACCTAGTACCAGGCGCCACGCCCAGGGCTTTGCACGTACCAGCTCATTCTGGTGGCACAACAGCTCTACATGGTGAGGGCGGCATTGCACCATTTCAGAGATGAGGGGCCTCGCRCCCAGGACCATGTGGAGTGTAAGTGACATGCCCACCATTTGCATGTGGATCCACTTGATCAGAAGCTGACTGCAACCCTGCTCCATTTCCTAAAACGTGCGTGTTCAGAGTGTGGCTTGCCCACAGGATGTGGGAGGACCTGGCTCTTCCCACCACCCTGCCCAGTCAGTGGGAGGGCAGGAGAGGTGAGTTTTGTTACCAGAAGGATAATGGGGGGAACCAGAGTGTTAACTACATCAGGGGAACAGGGCTGGTAAAACTAGCCGGAGAAGAGGCAGGGCCTGGACAGAAAAAAGACAGGAAGCAGAGAACAAGAACTCCTCAAGGTCACTTGTCTGTCCTTCTGCCTGCAGGTTGGCTGTTTCCAACCAGGCCAGGCAGGAAAGCCTCATTCCTACGTAAACTCCTGCATAGGTCACTCCTGTTCTGCCCACTCTTCTTCTTCTTCTCTCTCTCTCTTTTTACATTTTATTTTAAAACAGTCTCTCACAAAGTTGCTGAGTCTGGCTTTGATCTCAAGATCCTTCTTCCTTAGCCTCCCAAATCGCTGGGATTACAGGTGTGCGCCACTGAGCCTGGCTTCTGGCCACTCTTCCGACAGCATGGGAGACATTTCTATGTCTGTGTTTTAAATCCTTTGTCATAGAAGACTCTAGATCTGACCTAGGTCTCCATGCTTTGGCATTAGCTCCTTTCCCTGTGAGTTGGTGGGAATAAAGAAGAAACCCACATTATGTTCACCCCGAAACTCAAGAGTCTGTTACAAGTGGTCTTTAGTTTCAGGACCAGCTYCTTAAGTCTCTGAAGTCACTGAAGAGAGAAAGGAGACAGCTTTGGTCTCTTCTGCCCAAAAGGACCACGGAAGACCTAGCGCGCATCCCAGCCCTGTCTGCTCGGGGGCCCTTCTTCACCTGGATGTCCAGGTTGAGCTGCTCCCAGAGGTCATCGTGCAGGGCGGAGACCTCGGACTCGAGGTTCTCGTACTCCACGGTGCTGTTGGCCAGCGCCTGTAAGACAGAGGGGGTGGGCTGAAAAAYGGCCTCCGTCAAGGCCTCCCTCCTTGCCCTGTGACGGGACCAGGGTACCTGAAGTCTGAGGCCTGGGTAGAGGGACACAGAGGAACAGAAGGCGAGGGGCACAAGGCAGAGACATTTTGATGACAGCCAACACTAGCCTTACAAGAGGGACAGGGGCACATCCCATTGTGGAAAGAAACAAAGCTGATCCTTCTAGGCATGTGGCCAGGCAGAGAGGGGCTGATCACTTCTGCACTCTCCTCTTCTCCCCCCGTTGGGGGACTAGGAGTGGTGGGCAAAGAGGAAAGGGCCTGGGAGAGGGTGTCAGTTCCCTGGAACTTCGACACACTCCTCTTTTCTGGGCCGCGTTTGCCTGGGGCCTTTGCTGCTGCTTCTCAAAGTCATCATTATCCAAACAGCCTGTGCTGGAGGCTCTACCCTGTACACACTGGGAGAGGACAGGACCACAGCTAATCCTCCAGTGCTGCTTCTCCAAGCCAGAGAACAGAAGTAGGCAGCAGAGGCATTGGAGCAACCAAGGAAATGATCAACCCTCCACCTGAGGTTGTCCTGAAGGAATTCGGGTATGGCTACGGCTGATGGGAAATAAATTCCTTTTCTGGGTGGAAACTATGGAATGAATGGACTGGTATACTTGTTGCAAGGCAGAGTCAGGGTCATTGCTAATGCCCCTCTTGGGTGGGAGTAATTGAATTTTGCCCTCCAAGGATTAGGGTAGCACAGATGGATGGTGAGGGGCACCCAGACTCCACTCCCAGGTTACCGTGGTCGCCTGAGACAGATCCACCCGGATGTTGATCAGCTGGTTCTGCAGCGATTCCTTCTTGTGCAGTAGCTTCTCGGGATAGGCGGGCTGGCTCCCAAACATCTCCAGCTCCTGGTGGGTCCCCATCAAGGCACTTTCCAGGCTCTCCTGAAGAAGGTGGGAGAGTGACATCAGCTACCCCGATAGCTCCTTTCTGGGKTTTGAACAGCAGAGGCCTAAGCCCTGGCCACTCAACCAGGCAGCTTAGCAGAGGTTGCCTTCCCCCTGGGTATGGTCCCTAGGAGGAGACCCTCAGTGGTTCTGGGAATGAGTGGGACAGGAGTGTAAAGAAGGACAAAGCTTCACCAGCTCAGTAAGGATGGAGACAGCAAACCAAAGTTCCTGCCCGCCGTCCCCTCCAGGCCACCCGGGCTCTTACCTTTTCCGCTCGGAGCTGCTGCACCAGCCGGTCCTGCTCCCTCACCACCTTGTTCTGCTCACACAACTTGCCCAGCAGCTTCTGGGGGCCCAGAGTAGGGGGAGGGGAGGGAGAAAGAAGGGGATGAAGGACACGATTTGATGGGGACCTGGGAACTGGGCTGGCAGGGCCTGGCCTCTGGATACCGCCTCCTTTCCCCTGCTGAGGAACCCTGAGCCTTGGCCTCAACCTCGAAGGCTTCCAGGAAGAGGAGGGCCTCCGTGTTGGAAGGGGAGATGTACTTATTCTCTGAGGGAGAGGGTCAGGTTGCAGGGGGCTGGGAGGCCCGAGAGCCCCATTTTAGATGCCCACACCCCCATTTTCCTGCAGGAGAGCAATTCAGAGAAGACCGTGGCTTCACCTCCCCAGCAGGATGGGAAGGGCAGGCAGGTGTGGGCGTAAGCAGTCTGAGAGAAAGCAGTGCCGTGTCACCTGGCCCCTCAGTCCCTCGGGAAGCCCCTGCTCTCTCATCCTGAGACCCTGGGGCCCCTGTGAGCTCTGACCCTTGCCTGRCTGGAACCTCTCCTGGGTCCGCCGCTCAGATCCCCTGCCTGAGCAGGGCCAGCAGCGTAGAGACAAGTTGGGCTAAATCCCTCCTCTGGAAAGACTGTGCTCTCCACATCCACTTAGGCCACTCCTCGGATCCCTTCCTCTGAGCCAAATCTTGCCCTCTGGGCCTTTGAGCTTCCAGGCCCAGCTCCCAGCTACCTGTCGTGCCCTGACCTACCACCTCAGATGGCCTCACATCCCCATCTCTGAGGAAACTCTCATTGGTCCTTTCAGTCACTGAATCCCGATTGCCACCTCCTGCGGCCTGGTGTCTCCAACCGCCTGAAGCCCCCTGAGGGCCAGAGCAGGTGTCTTCTTTCTAGTTACCTGTTGGGGCTAGCGCCTTGCTGGGCCCAGAGCAGACTGACTGACATAACTCTCAACAAGGCCTGCTGGCCTGCTCCCAGCAGGTCCCACTGCTGCAGACCAGCGGGCCTGAAGCTCAGCGGGGAAAGGCATGGCGCCCGCATGGGAGGGAAGGGGGAGTCAGTGGTAAGATCTAGAAGAGAAGGGGGATGAGGAGGCAGGTCGAACGCTGTGTTTGTAGCGAGGGAGGACATGAGTCAAATGTATGAAGAGCCACCAGGAGGAGCAAGAGATGGACGGAGAAAAAGCCCCAGAGAGGAAGGAGGATGAGGACGAGAGCAGGAGGTGGCTGCAGTGGACAGAGGGAGCAGGGAGAGCTGCCCTTACATCCGTGTCTTGCTCGTTTAACTTGAAGGTGTGGAGGCCGTCCCGGAACACTTCTGGGTATGGAGGGACCTGCAGGAACACAAGGTGGTTACTGCAGCAGGGTTGGCTGAAGGCGCACAGGCTGACACCACAATCCTGCTCCGTTCCTGCCACACACTGTGGTCCGTCACCTCGGGTGGCTTCCGTTCTGGGGCTCTGAGCTAATTCTCTGTCCCCTGGCTGGGGAGCCTGTGATGGCGCAGTCTAGACTCATCCCAGTTTGTCCTTGGCTGACTCTGGAGAGACCAGACATCTGCTGGACTCAGACTCTGCGACTCCTCTGCCCTCAGCTCTGGGATTCGCTGCCGCGGGTGCGACAGGGCTCCCAGTAGCTGGCTAGTAACAACCCTCCGCTGTGTGTGGCGACAGGACAGGCAGCATGGTGGGAATGAACACTGGGAACACTTTAGAACAGTTACCCCAGGGCTGGGGATAGAGCTCAGTTGGTAGAGTGCGTGCCTCACATGCACAAGGCCCTGGGTTTGATCCCCAGCACCACACACAAAAAATAATAATAATAAAATAAAATAAAATAAGAATTGTTACCCTAGTACTGAACACTAATCACAGGCCTTGACTGGCAAGAATCTAGAAGCCTCTCTGGATTCAGCTAATACTGCTCAGCCTTGATGACATGGCGGGTGACTACAGCACAGTCCATGCATCTCTGGTATCGGATGGTCCCAAGTTATGCCCCTCACACCCTGAACCCCAACAACATCTGTCAGGAAGACAGTAAACAYGAATCGGGAGTCATGGATACTGAAAAGCAGGCTTGCAGTCCCCAGCATGGCATGGGATGTCAGTGCTGGCTAATCGGATGGTTTGGGAAATGGGCTTGGGTTCACCCATGAACGTGAAGAATGGAGGTGACACAGTGCAGCTAAGGAGGAAGAGCAGGCTGAGCCTGTCTCCGGGGAGGGGGGGATGAGGCCCGGCAGATGAGCAGTCTGGGCAGAGTGAGCCTCATCCCAGGTGGGGCGACCGGACCATGCACAAGCAGCTGAGATGGCATTGACAGGGACCATGCTGCCAGGCAGAGGTCTTACTTGCATGAAGAGTTGGGCCCTGGGGGAGGAGTTCTCCACCATGCGGTTCACCATACTGATGAGAGTCTCGCTCTCACTCATCTGCAGCAGAGGAAGGAATGGACGGACGGTTCACACTCAGACCCGCGGAGGTAGCTCCCCGCGTCCCCTGCACGAGTTTCAGGAAAGGGAAGGAAAGCTGCTCTCGGGCCTCCAGGACCTGCGCTTGGCCTCGGCACCACTCGACCCTGCGAACTCCGTGTCAGAGCCAGCACCAAGGCTGCCCCGAGGAGAGGCCACGGCGGGGGGCGGGGGGGGGGGTGCTGGGAAACCACTGGGCCTTCGCTTGCAGCACAGAATACGCCCGGGCCCAGAGACTCTGCCCTGGGATGCCTGACTGCTGTGGGTCCCATCCACACTGGCCCAGGCTATGGTCTCCTTCCCAATTCTCACACTGCTTTGCACAAACATCACACGGTTGGAAAGGCTGACCTCCCCAGGTCTGCACTAAACCACACAAACTAAGACAGACACACGGTGGAACGCACCCTGCTGAGTGGCCTTCGMCAACGCATGGGCCAGGGTCCCCTGCCCCCTCCCCTCCCGGGCTCTAGCATGGAAGGACTGCTCAACACGGTTTCCAGAGCTGGGCTGGCAGCATCCAAGAGGAGCTGGGATGGCATTGGGAGCAACTAAGGAGGCCGAGACAAGCGAGCCATGTTAAAGGGACACCAGGAACCAGAACGCTGCTTTCCACCACATCATCTTTCACAGTTCAAGGATCATAAGGAACTTTGGGGTGGGGCATTGATTGCCAAATGAAAAAGAGAGAGACAGAGTGGGGAGGAGGAAGGAAGGGAAGGAGAAGGGAGGGAAGAAGGGAGGACGGGCCAACCACATCAATCAGAGATGCCATCATCTCCCCACTGGTTCCAGCGTGAGAAGATCAAAAATGAGCCGGTCAGGGAATGTCCTTGGCTGTGTCCCTTTAACTCTGCTGTTCCGTAGCAGAGATGGGAGGAGACAAAGGGAAATGAGCAAGAAAAGCTTTTGGGGAGAGAAAGTGAATGAGGAGGACAGCCACAGTAGGAAAGATCTTCTGGGGTCCCAGGTTTTCTCTACGGCCTCCCCAATCTTGGTGAGACCTACCGTCTTCTCTTCCTCTTACCCTTTTAAGCGAGAGCTGAAACACAGCCTCACCTCTGCACCCTACAGGTGGAAGGCACCCGCTGCTCAACTGAACTGCAGAGGCTGTAGTCACTTCAGCCCTTTTATAGGTCTAGTTTTTCTGCCCCTTTAGCCCAGTTGGAAATTTTCTCTGTGGCATCAAGTGTGACTTAAAAGACTTGGAATATAAGGTTGAGTCCTTGCAAGAGTTAAAAGTCGACAGGAGGTCAACCACATCTTCTCTAAAAAGATCCAAACTCTAGTCTATCCCTCTCTTCCTGAAGACCCAGAGGTGTGCACACAGTGGATCTACCAATGTGTCAGGTTCAGAGGCCAAGGGAGGCCAAGGCTCTTCCTGGGCACTCACCGACCTCAGTCCTTCCCCAAAAGTGGGTCTAAAGCATTGGTGGCAAGAAGCAGAAGGTCCTCCTGGTGGCCTGCTCCCCCTGGTGCTGTGGATTTGGGAATCTTTGAGCTCACGAGGGCCTCTCCTCTAGGAGGATCCCATGGGCTAACTCTGTGTACAATGTTGGAGAGATTTTATGAGAAAGCAACAGACCCTGTGCCCAATGCAGAGTTAGTGCTGCATTTTGGTAGAACATGAAATAAGAGCAGCATTTAATGATTAAGAGAATAAGAACCCAGAGAGACTAAGTGACATTTCTAAGGTTTAAAGAAAAAAGCTTGTAAATGGCAGACCTGGGACTAGAGTGGCAGCATTTGGTTACATGTGGACTCTCCTTATCCCACAAGATGCCTCTCGGGAATATTACCCTCTATCCAGGAAGGGGTCCTCTTCGAAGGTTATTTATAGCCCAATAGTCCAGACCCTCTTTTCAAGGGCTAAAGCCTCCAGGAGGGGACCCTGATTCTGCACTGAGTGTGTGGACAGCCAGGCCTGTGGATGGGCTAGTGAGCCAACCAGACGGACACTTTCCACTGGGAGGATTCCATGCTTCCCAGCCCTGCTCTTAGGGACAACATGAGACCAGTTCCCACATGGACAGGAACGCTCACGGTGCAAGCACTGCATACCGCTTATCGAACAAGAACTCAAGGTCCTTGGGGGCCAGGATCAGGTCCTGCTGACCAAATTATGGCTATCAGTGCTTCCCAGTGAAAAGCTCTTCTAGGATAGAAGATCACCACATCATGACGTGGAGGCCCTGTGAGATGGTGGGTGACAGGGCTTGTGACTAGAAGAACATACAGCTCTGATTTCAAGTTTATTGTTCTTTCTGCAACTCTAAGAGCTTAAAATTCTTCTGATGAGATATGTCTCCAGCGTTTTTTTTTTTTTTTTTTTTTTTAAGTTAGATGTTACCTCAGCTATAAACTGGGTTAAAACCTCAGAGCCATATTCAAGCTCTGAAGTGTGTCTTTGGCACATTATTTAACCTCTCTGTGCCTCATCGCCCTGGCTGCAAAATGGGGATAAATAACAGTACTCATCTTGTAGGATTATCATAAAGAGTCAGTGGGTTGGGATCTATTTGCTTAGAACAGTAAGACACAGAGGAGGCCTTCCATGATGGTGACTGCTGCCATCATTATTATCCCTGTTATCATTCCACCCCAGGATGCCTCCACAGGACAATGGTGTGCAGTTCCCGTGGTGGGTAGCACAGATCTGAACATAGAGCATGTGCTCACAGAAATGCCAGCGTGTTCACCTGGAGTCTACTTGCCCTGAGGGAACATCAGCCCTCTTGGCCTCAATGGGCAATGCAGCCAAGGGTGAGAGCCAGGAGCTGGGAGCCCAGGCAGTCAACTGCCTGGGTCTCGTGGGGACACTTATTAGCTGTTCAGCTTGCTCACTTGTCAAACTGAGTTGATTATATTGCCTCAGTGTCTACAGCCTGAATTCTCACAACCGTGGGCTGTGTATGCAAAAGAGCGATGCCGAAAAAAATTGCAGATGTACTGAATGGATATGATTTTCTAAGTTATTCTAAGGCAGGTCTATAGGCCTCGGTTTAAATTATTAGCATCTCAGGCCCATACCCAGAGCCGCATCCTATCTCTGTGACTCCCTCTTCTCTCCAGCAGAAATGCAAATTCCCAACCTGCCTCCTGGGAGGCAGTTCCATCTGGGCTGGTTGGAGAAATATGAGGTGGCATTAATTATTMATGTGCCCATTTATTATTATGCTTCTTTCCACCAGAAACCCCCAGGTGTCCTACGGGGCTTTGAGGAGGAGGGGTGTGAAGGAACAAACTAAAATATAAGCCACTTTGTTGTGTCCTGGTTGCACCAACAAAGGTTGTCAAATGGCGGGAGGGTGAGGAGGGGGGAGGAGTGGGGAGACAGGACAAGAGGACAGTGGAATGGTAAGGGGCACCAGCTCTGCCTACCTGCTGGTCCAAATACTCTAGGTTTCTTTGCAACTGAAGGTCTAAAAGTTCATCCTACCCGGAGCCCGAGGCCAAAGGGCCAGTCAGCAACACAAACAAACAGGAACACACGAAAGAAAACAATAAAAAAAGAAGCAAAGCTGTTAAGAGTTAGCTGGGCAAGGACAAGGGAAATCCTCTCTCTCTTGGCCCTGGAGGAGTTCTGGGGAGGAGCTGAGGTTGCAAGCAGGCACAGGAGGGACACGCTCCTGGCCCAGGCTCCACCATCTCTCCTGTGTCTGTCTTGCCTTCCCTGGGACAGTGAAGCACCACTAAAGCCACCTAATCAGCACTTCTTAGCAACAGCTTCTGGGTTTTCTGGAAAAACTGATTGTTTCTGGAGGGGGATGCCTGCGGTGGGTCAAGGCTATAGAGTTTGGATAGTGGAGTAAGAACGGCCAAGCTCCACCACCCGGCCTCCTGGTACAGGAGGTCATGCCTATTGGACCCTGTGGTTCTCCCCAACCCGCCCAAGTAGATCAACTGCATCTAGTCCTCCAGGTGGAGGCAGAAATTCTCAAAGGAACACATTTTTCTATGCAAGTAGAAAAAAGGAGAGAAAAGGGGAAGTAGRCGCAATATGGAACATTTTTTTTTCTTCCTCTGTCACCTTTTGACTCTTTCCCACAGGTGGCATTTCAGGCAAAAAGCAAACTTGAAGCAAATACATGTAGGGAGAAAAAGTCTAGATGCTCTTGCCTGTTGCTAGGAGGCCTAGCCTGACCTTCTGTCCCAGCTCATAATACGAGCCCCCTGCCCTGGCCTCCTCTGCATGCTGGAGAGGAGGGCTGCGCTGGGCTCTAGGGGATCCAGATAGYACATGCTCTCTGATCTTGTCCTACTCCTCTGCCCTGTGTCACAGAGAGAGGGTAACTGGCACTGAACTCTGTTGGAGCTAGAGTCCTAGCCAGGAGGGAGGAGGCATCCAGAGGCGCTAAAAACACATAGGCCAGGCACTAGGCACACAGCACCCCTGGCGCCTGCCCCAGTTTGACTCCACCTTGGGTGGAGGCAGGGAAGTCCAGAGGTGGAGTGGCGGGGAGAAGAGGACGTACCATCTTATCGTGGACCGTGGGGGATGGTGGGTAGTTGTAGGGGAACAGTCCTGCAGGGACTGGCCGCCTGTCTCCCAGGTAATCATACTGGAAGAGAAAGGGGATTGTAGAGGTGAGAGAGTCTGGTTGGACATGGACTTCCCCACCAACTGAAATTCAAGGTTAGGGATGTCTGCATCAAACTAAAAAGGATAACAGCTCCCCTGGCAATGATCTGTCCAAGTCCTCAAGAGTAGAAAAGACGCACTCTGCCCTCTTACACAGAACGATTCCTGGGACAACCTGGGGACCGACCGGCATAGAGAGTACTGTTTCCATTTAGGGAGCAAAGCAATCCCCCAAGGCGGCACTCCTAGGGACAGAACCATAGGCCAGCATCTCCCCAGGCAGGTGCCTGGTCCTGTGACACAGCCCAGGGGTCCACCGTCTACCTCTTCTCAGAAGATGGTCTTAGGAAAGAGGAGAGAGGGGCAGGCCGGGGCTCACCTTGGGGGAGCTGATGGATCGTCTCATCACATAGGCGGCAGGGTCGGCATAGATGTCCTCGCTGCGAGGTGGCAGCCGCTCAAAGCGGGCACTGGGCGAGCGGACAGGGGAATAAATGCGGGCGCGGCTGTAGGAGCCCTGGCTGGGCGAGCGGGGCACGGAGTGGGAACGGGGTTGCAAGGACAGTCGGCGCAGGGAGCCGGAGGTGGCATCCAGCTCGTCATAATAGACTGGCTGTCGAGAAGGGCTGGGGACCCAGACGGTGCCATCCTGTCTGCCATAGCCAGCCGGCTCCTTCCACTCGCGCAGCTGGTAGGCGGGTGGTCCACCCCCATTGCGGAAGGAATGGCGCTTGTCCTCCAGGGCCCAGGGTGGGCTGATCCGATCGTAGGCGGGCATGGAGCAGATGCTGTCTGGCCGCACCCCGGGCGGGTAGTACTGGTAATCATCTGGGTACTGGGACGAGTAGGGGCCATAATACTCAGGGACTCGGCGAGACACAGGGTAGAACCTAGAGGGACTAGGACACAGAGGACACTGTAAGGAAAGCAGACAAAATAGGCAGGTCTCCACCCCATTCACTTCCAGCCCCACGTCTGTGTCCTCCAGCCCCGAGGAGCTGCCTGGACAGGTGAAAGGTGCCCATGGAGAGGTGCCCTGGCCTTATGGACACAAAGAGGAGGTCACTGCTGAGGCACAGGCTGGGATTTACTCCTGAGGTGAGGGAAAGCGCTTTCTCAACCAACTCGTGGGGGCTGCAGACTGCAGCGTTCAGAGCTTCTGCTTTTGTCTCTTTAAAATGAAATGCCCCTTCTTCACCATCCCCGTCTGTGCGAACCAATTTATCAGATCCTTCCCAAGGGAGGCGGGAGAAGAGAGAACCYGGCTGTACCAGGCACTGAAGGAGGGAGCAGAGCCGGGAGGAAAGGGCAGCTTCCTGTTAGATCGCATCAACATAGAACCAGCAGGTTCCCGGGAGTGGGCGGACCAGGTGCAGGACCACCAGCAGTGAGCTGCAGCTCACAGCTAGAGGGCGCGTTTCTCAAGGGCCCAGAAGCCCTCGGAGGCCACCACCTGCAGTCCCTGGAGTTGTCCCTATCCCCAGGGAAGAAGTTAGCCAGCTCACTTGCTTTGACGAACATTGAGTTCCAATTGATGTTCCCAAATATCTGAAAGCCCGTCTTTGGTCACTGAGGTTGGTATTAGGATCATTGGCATCTTTTTTTTTTTTTTTCCCTTTCAAAAAGTAAACTTCCTATAATGAACTTTCAAACACAGCTATTTGAGACAGTGAGTTGGTTTGGTGGCTAGACTGGGGTTGCACTGGGGTTGAAGATGTAGGATCCACGGCAGGGACGGGTGTCTGACCAGAACACTTCAAGTCCTCTGCCTGGGCCTCCCTGACTCTTGGGCCACCCAGTACCATGTGAAGCAGCACTGGGGTGCTCTGTCCTTCTTCCTGAAGGAAGCTGACAGAGGAAGCAGGAACGAGGGATGGCAATCCCGGTGGCACAGGAGAGGAGGTGGTTGAGCTGGGAAGCAGACCCTGGTCTTAGCATCCCAGGTTAGCCTGGCTTCCAGAAGCAGGTGTCTACCCAGCCATACCACCACGTACCACCACGTTCCGCCACGCCAGCCCGCCCCGGCCCCGCAGAGCCTCACCTCCGGAGGTCTTCGGGGGGCTGCACACCCCGGCGCAGGTTCACCCACTGCTGAAGCTGATTCATGGAGCTCTTGCGCTGGGCGATTTTGTCAGGGTGGGTGCGTGGAGGAAAGCTCCGCCGGTGCCCCCCAYTCTCCCCGTCCTGAGGTGGGAAAGCGGTGCTCCCTGGCCGGCTGGGGGAGCTGTACTGCCAGCCATTGGGCTGGGCAGGCTGCTCCCCACCCCCTGGCACCCTCGGGCCCTCGGGGTAAGGGCTGCCGGGCTCTGAGGCCGGCTCAGATCCAGCTGGGAGGCCATTGGCTTTCACCAGAGACTCTTTCTTGACTTCGGGCCTCTCGGGCCTCTGCTCTGGCTTCTCACAGCCTCGGCCGTCGCCCTCCCCTCGAGTCTTGGCCTCAGGCTCAGGCCTGGGCAGGCTGTTGTGGGCTGGCTGCTGGTGGTGTTTGCTGGGAGGGATGTTCTCTGAGTCTGGCTTCTCGTGGCTGCAGGAGGCCAAGGGAGATGATGCAGTAAGAGACTCCAGTCATGACTGGGGGGGAGAAAAGGTGTGGAGAGGAACAGGCAGGAAGGCAGCCAGGGAGCCAGTGCAGTGACCTCCGATCTGCTTCCTAAACCCCAGGCCTCATCTTCTTGCTCCAGCCCGAGCAACTGTTAGGCAATGTATAACAATTCCTGCCAAAGCATGCCAGGCTGGTCCTGCCCTCTGGGTCTTCTTCCCAGGTCACTGTCCACTCCCATCTGCTGCCTGTGTTGAGCCCAGCCTTCAGCTATGGCCAAGACCAACCCAACAGTCTTGGTCTCCTCTGTCACCTGTCCCTGATCCAGCCCCTCAAACTTCATGGGCCCGATACTGAAGTTTCACAGCAGTAACTGTGACCTTGGCCACAGAGGCTTGCTACAGGTCCACTCTCTCCTCTCCAGAAAGCTACTTGACTTCCATGAGTCTTGGGCTCCCCACTGACAGGACGAGCATAACCCCCTCTCTCCTCAGAGGACTGCTATGAGATAAAACATGGCAGAGATAAGAGCTCCTGCCTCCAAGTTCATGGGCATGCAGACATGCTCGTTCCCTTCTCCAAATCACGATCCTCCCAGGACTGACTTCCCACGAGAAGGTAGGCTCCACCAGGGCAGGAACATGGCAGACTTTCCTCCCGGGTGCTCCTAGCACACCTGGCATAGGGCCTATCACATTTATGTTCACAGTAAATATTTGTGAAATGAATAAATGAACTTCTGGAAAGACAAAGATGGAAACGGGCAAGAATTTCCTCCAAGCCTGGCAGAGTCAAGCCGCCTTGCTGAAACGTCGCTGGGTAAACATTTCTAAGACACACACTAGACTTGGAGTCAACACTGTGAGCCCCCTTCTCTGGATCCCTATTAACACCTAACTCAGGGCTCCACACCCAGTTACAGAAGAGACAGGCACCAAGACCGCGGGTGATGACGGCAGCCGAGAGCAGCCATCTGCTGAGTGTCTGCTACATGTCAAGCATTTTTCACACACCATGTCGTCTTCACAACCACCCCAGGTGGGGGGATTATAACTGCTAGTTTTCAGGGGAGGAAACTCAAATTCTCAGAGGTCAAGTCACTTACACTAAGGTCACGCTGTGACCAGGCGGCCGAGCTGTGACCTGCCTTCCTCCAAATGCTGCGTGTTTAATACACAGCCAAGAAAAAGAAGCAAATCCCCTCACCTTTGGCTTCTGGGCAGGTCATGATGGAACCTGGCTTCAATGTGGCTTTCCCCAGCTTAGAGAGAAGAGGAGAAGTGGGACCAGGGAAGGATTTGGGGTTCTGTCATCATTTAGCCAGACCTGCATGGACGCCAGGAGATGGCTCACACGTCCTCTAGGGGCCCAACCGGTGTGCTGGGCTCCACAGCGGCACAGGGCCGGGCACGTCTTTTCTGCTGCTTCTGCCCCTTCCTCACTCCCATGCCAGGTACCCTGGCACTCACCTGTGGCGTACAGGTTGGGGCGCCGACTTCTGGGCTGGAGGGATCTGTACCCGGGCAGCCTCCCCCATGGCCTGGATCCAGGCCTCCTGCTCCTCCGGGCTCTCAGCACTGAAGAAGTAGGTGCGGACGCCAGCATGCTCGGCCTGTGGGGAGAGGCAGTGCGTGGAACTGGCCCCGGCCTCATCCACCCAGCACACAGTCACCTGTAGGGAGAGGACACCAACACCCCCAGGAGAGACAGTCAGTCAGCTATTCCTGGGCCTGCGGCTCCTCCCCCAGGTACAACTCAGGAGCCAGGTGAGGACGCTGGCCCATGGCTGGCCCACGTGCTCCAACTGGCAACCAGATATCTGCCTGGGCCAGGTCTCCAAGTGCTACCAGGCAGCCCTGTAGGCAGGTAAGCCTACCTGTCCCACCTGAGGTGATTTGTCAGCAGGAGGGACGATTACCACACCCACTGCCCTCCAATTACCCAAGGGCTGGGGGAGTTGAAAGGCAATTACCCAAGAGCTGGGGGAGGTGGGCCCCTGAGCACATGCTAATTTCAGCCCCAGCTTCCTAGGGAGAAGCTCTCTGCCCTGCCTCTTCCTTGAGGGGAGACAGCCAGGCCCCTATCCACAGGCATGCAAGGGCAGGCTCTGGCATACAGATGGAGCACACTACCTAGTTGGCGGCTGTGAGCAGGCACAGTGGGCGGGAACCCAGAAGAGAGCTCCTGTCGAGAAGGGGTCCTCAGGCATCAGAAGGAGAAGCAGAGAGCAGGTCAACCAACACCAGAGGGAGAGACAGACGAGGAGGCAAGAGATGGTGAGGAGCGGGGAGGGGGGGGGAAGGGGGGGAGTCAGACTGTCCCTTTTTACTCAGTGTCACTACTGGGAAGGACAGCACCCAGCAGTGCCCGCTTCAGGTCACCAAGGGGCAGGGCGTGGAGAGTGTGCACTCTGGGAATCAGGCTGGGTTTGGAATGGGGAGCCAGGAACCCTGGGGCTGACCCCGCTCTGCACCTCACCAGCCCTGCCAAGGCAGACCAGCTGCTGTCCTGCTCAGGTCAACCTCATGGGGAAGGGTCTGCCTGGTGAAACTCAAGGCCACAAAGAGAGGGGCCACAGGACTAGAACTTTCGGGGACCTTAATATACTTGCTGGGTGACCCTCAATCCCTCCAAAAAGCAGGGAGCAATCTATCTTACTTAATTGGGGGGGGGGAGGTGTCCAATTGTGACTGAATCTCAGAGGTGAGCCTCCTGGCAGCCTGACTCTTTGGATGCTCCTTCCTGGGTTGCTGGGGTTTAGGGGAGGAGAAAGGAACCACTGACTGAGCCTCTGGGCTCTGCTGAGCAGCAGCATCAAGCCCAACTCGTGTGATACCTTTTGGACCAAGCTTCCCCAGGCTTTCTTGACTGCAGCTGGTCCCACCCCGCTCTACCTCTCCCTAACATCGGAACTCTTTATTGAAGGGGGTAACCAGGGATTCAACCCAGGGTGCTTAACCACTGCGTCACATCTCCATCCCTGTTTTGTTTTGTTTTGTTTTGTTTAGAGACAGGGTCTTGCTAAGTTGCTGAGGTCCTCGCTAAGTAGTTGAGGTTGGCTTTGAACTTGTGATCCTCCTGCCCCAGCTTCCTGAGCCACTGGCATTATAGGTGTGAGCCACCGTGCCAGGCTCAGCCCTGGAATTCTTTCTAATAGGAGCCATTACCTAGCAAGGGGCATGGATGGGGCTCCTTCCTCTGCATCCCCTACCCTCTAGCAGACAGCCCGGTGTAGAGAGGGCAGGAGAGGCTGARGGACAGCCTGTGGGGCTGGAAGGAGGCCTCTGGGACTTGAAACTGCACAGGAGTTGAGAGCTGAAGACCAAGCGAGCCCTCTGGGTGGAGAACACAGGTGGCTGTAGAGGAGAGGGGACACAGGACTGGTGGTGTGTCCTGGGGCGGGTGGGAGTGCAAGCACCTAGTGAGCAGCCTGTGAGTTCAGCTCGTGCAGGGCACCAGTCACAAGGAAGGCAGGGGCTTGCTCTTGCACTTGAGCTCACAGTCATATTGGCAACCAAACATGCCACAGGAGACAGGGAGCCAACACAGGCCCAGGAGCAAGTGCTGGAGACAGGGGAAGGCAGAGGGCCTGACGGGGCTATTGATGGGGAGTGGGGAGGGGCCTGGGCTGGGACTATGAAAGGGGCCAGAGAAGTGAGGGAGGTGTCCCAGCAGGCGAAACCCTCCGAGGGGCCGGGCCGGTGAGGAAGAGGTAAAGCATTCAGTGGCAGCCGGGCAGGCGCAGTTCCTGGCTTCTCATTATTTGCCATCCAAGAGTTTGGCTGGGTGGCCACAGCAGGATAAGCCTCCTGTCTGTCTCCGCTCCCCTCCCTTCCCTGGGGAAGGGCCACTGAATAGCCACAATTGGAACCCTTTGTGGGCCACTAAGCACAGCTCTCAGAGCCAGGTCTTAAAGAGGCAGTGCACTCCTAGTGAAGGTGGAGCGGGCAAGGGGCTGGTGGGCCCAGGCGTGATCTTGGGGCTTTGTGGTTGGGGTTCGTGCTAGCCATTCTGAGGTGTTATCTGATGCCTGCAGGTGGGCAGGCTGGCTGATGGTGCATGGGTGTGTGTGTGTGTGTGTGTGTGTGTGAGAGAGAGAGAGAGCGCGAGCCAGGGCTGTGTATTGTTGGTTAGACAGCCTACTTCTATTTCCCCAGCAGGACCCGGCTCTCTAGAGTCACAGTTTCATTAATTGTTTATTCCGCCCATACCTCTGGCACCCAGGACCCTGGGAGGCTGGAAACTAATTATGTTCCAAATAAGTCCCTCCTTGTTCCTCAGGGCAGAACCTACACGTGCTGCCCACCTCTATCCTATCACCAGGTGACCAAAATCCACGGGACAGAAAGGGCCCTAGGGGCTCAGACAGTGGCCTGGTGAGACCCATAGGTCCTATCATCTAACACCTCAGTTTTGGGTTTTCAGGGTTTGAGATGGCAATTCTCTCCTGGGGGACAGAGGGCTTTGTCCTATGGAAATGCACAGTTTAGCTTATAATTTTACATTTGGAAAATGAAAAGAAACCTAAGGGTTTTTTTTTTTTTTTTTTGCATCACAAAGTACAAAAAGGGCATGAGATTTTTATAGTTTTTAATGGGTCATGAATTTTTAAATGTGGAAAAACACTGGCCTAGGAAGAGCCAGCTGTGAGCGAGCAGTGTCTTTGATGGGTGGATCCCTGGGGGGTTCTGAGGGAGTGACACGGAGAGGCAGCCGAGTCCCATTTTCCTGGCCCTTGTTCTCTCAAAACTGTTGTCTACAGACWTTTGCAGTTCTGGATTGGAGCAGAACTCAACTCCTCATTTCCTCTAAAGATTGCGATTTCAGTTAATTTGGCTGGAGGAGGGATCCCCTTCCCTGGACCCAAGGCTTTCCAGAAAAGATCTCAAGAATTCCACCAGGCACAGCTCTGCCTCTGTCCAGAGGGATTTCCCAGGAGCAGAAAGGCCAAGGGCCCAGGACATAATTTTCTCTCCCAGTAAAAACTGTGGTACCACTGAGGCACACCCCTATCGGTCCACCTAAGGGGAATTACCCACGTGACCCCTGTGAAGAAGAGGGCTGTCCCAGCACAGCCTCACCTTGGCCTCCCAGTAACCCATCTGAGTCCAGAGGCCACTGCTCCCTTCCTCCTCCATCACCACCTGGATTCCTCAGGGAGATGTCCTTGACCCTTCTCTATCTCCATATGCTCTAGAAGAACAGGCCTCCCTCCCCCAGACCTGGGAGAGGAAAGCCAACCGACCTTAAAGGTGTGCTTCCGGCTGATGTTATCCGAGGGCTGCACTGCTGCAACCCGGAAGCTCAACAGGGGGATGCTGCCCAGGATGCTCTCCTCCTTTTCATCTGCCAGAGAAACAGAGGCACAAGGGKGTGTGTGTGCTCACGTGGGCAGGGGGAGCCAGGAGCACGCTGGCCCTGCTCTGTGAACACCTGATGCCCACCTACTACTTGCCAGACACTCGGGGGGCCACCACACACACTCCAAGAGGCACTCCCTGGAGCTGGGGGTGGGGGTGGGGGGCAGAGGGGCTGGCGGACGCTGTTCAGACACTGGACTACAGAAGAGAATAAGAGAAAAGTAGTGCCCACCCTCGGGGCGTTCACATTCTAATGCCCAAACCAGTTATTAAAGAAGAGCTGGTGTTTCTGGAGTGTTCGCCTCATTATTAGGAGCGTTCCAAGTTAAATGCCTTACTGGATTGAACCCTTCAAACTATCCCGCAAAGAGGTACCCATATCACCCCCCCCATTTGATGGGAAGCTGAGACCCAGAGGCCAAGGAGTTTGTCTAAGTTTCCTTAAAAAGTAAATAGTGGGCTTGGTCTTTCCACCCAAGAAGCCTGATGCCAAAGCTGGCCTTGCCGACCCCTATCCCATCTGTCATGCCTCTCTGAACAGGACAATTCCAGTAGTGGTGCATATAGCAGGGGACAGGACGGAGCAGGGTCGTGTGCACCACTTCTCTTCCTGCTCTCGGGAGCTCTGGGTAGCTCTCTCCAGGGTGCTCCCAGCCCCCAGCAGCCTGCTTTGCCTTTTTCCTGCTGCAGACCCCCTTTATAGCTCCTGCGTGCAGTCCCGGGCCCTGTCCTCTCAGGATCAGGCTAACAATCACTAACAATGGGGCTGTTACATAATTCATCCCGGATCTGGAGGAGCCTGATGGATTAGCTAATCGGGCGCCCAGCTGTCAGCAGGAGGCCAGAAAGGGCAGGAGCCCTCTGTGGGACGGTGGGGGACAACTAGGCGGCCATGGCAAGACCCTCTCCTCTGCTGGGTCTGCTGYGTATTCCTGGGGTTGGGGACGCTGAAAAACCTTCAGTCAGAGTCCAGAAGAAACCTCTGCTGGGCTACGACTCCCGGAGCTCTACCTCCCCTCTTGTCACATCCACAGACCCACAAGATACTTGGTCCGCGATTCTGTTTAGCCCACAGCCTGGTGCCAGAGGGAGGGGTCAAATGAAGGAGCAGGAAGGACTTGAGGCTGGACTCCAAAGCTGTCTTTGGGAAGACTGAGGCTGCCCACCTGCCAAGGAGACGGGCCCTGCCTGGCAGAGGGCAGGCCAGCGTTTAGGGGCCGCTCTGGTTTGGATGAGCTCAAGCTCTCGTGGGAATCTGATTCTAATGCAAAGGTGCTGAGAGGTGGTGGGGTCACAGAGGGAGGGGTGCTCTTCCCACACAGAGCTCCCCCTCCCCAGCGGGGCCTTGGAGGCCAGGCGGCCCTCCTGTTTTGTGTCATCTGTGCGTCCCCTCTCTACCTTCTGCCGTGAGTTGAAGCAGCACGAGGCCCTCCCCAGAAACCACTGTGCTCTYGCACCTTCCAGCCTCCAGAACCGTGGGCCACAATAAACCTCCCCTCACGGTGAATGACCCAGCCACGGAAAACAGGCTAAGCCCAGRGCTGTCCTGAGACCACCCCTCTGTGGCTGTGACCCCTTTTCAGGACCTTAGCCCCTCCTCTGCACAGACACTGGCYCTCCTCCCAGGCCAGTCCTTCTCTGCTCCAGGGCTCAGCACCCAGGGGCCAGGCCTGGGCACAGTCTTCTGCAAGTTTGGGCCTTTCTCTGCGCCTGGCCCCAGAATCCGCAGCCCCTCTGATCCCTCTTCCTTAAGAGTTCAATTGGCTTTAGCTCAGTGCGCAGGGACAGTGGCACCCTGGGGCGAAAGGGTCACTGGGTACAACCTTTGTTTGCCCAGGTTAATGATTCATCAGATTGCTCCCAGGAGGCCTTGGGAGACCAGGGCTCAGCCATCCTGAGGCAAGGAGGCCGGGCAAGCACCAAGAACAGCTCCTCCGAGCTCACATCACTGTCTTATCCCCTGGGTCTGCTTCCTCCTGCCACCACAGCAGCCTGACGATGCCACCATCGCTGTCATCAGCCAGCCCTGGTGCCCTCTGTGCCCATGGTGACACATGTGGCTCTGAATATCTTTAAATAACCTCCTAGAGAAGGTTGCATCAAAGTTCCCAGAGCTTTGCTCTCCTTTATTTTGTTTATTTATTTATTTTTGATCAGGGAGCAGSCTAGGGGTGAATGCGGGGGGTGACAGAGGGTAGAGCTGGGGGCCACTCATTTAAGCACTATCCACTAAATACCAACTGTGTGCAGTGCAAAGTTTAGATGCTGTGGACTCAGGAGTGAACAAAATTGGCASAAATTCCTGCCCTCACTGACCAGACTGTCCATTCCGGTGGAACACAAACAAGACCAAGGCACAAGCCTCCAGGACGTGGTGACCTACAGGTGCTCACTAGGAACCTCGTCATCTTCTTCCTCTCTCCTACCCCTTCCAGACTTCACCATCCATATAACTACCTTGTCACCCACTGGGTCACCAACCAGGACTCAGAACACTGCCTGAAACCTAGCAGGCAGTCCAGAAATGTTGCTGAATTGAATGAACATGGGTAAGCTGACACAAGCCACCRTCCCATGTCACACCCCTCTGGCGCCAAGCACTCAAGCGGGGAGACCTGTCCTGCCAAGGCTCTGCCAATCACACCCCAGGGGCAGGCTCACCTTTGTAGTAGAAGAGGCAACGGTCCACCAGGACAAACCAGCGCTTGTTCCACTGCTTCACCCCGGAGCTGGCCTGCGGCACACGGGGAGAGTCGGATGTGAGGGGCTGTGGGCTGGGCACCGAGGGGACAGGGCACAGCACAGCTGACAAGGACTCCGGGCTCAGATCTAACGTGTGGCAGCAACGCCCCGAGGTCACAGAGGCAGGGAAGGGACATTAGATTACTGCCTGTGACATTCCAGCTCTGTCATTCTGAGGCTCCGTGCCACCTCGTCAGGGGGAAGATAAAAAGGGCAAGAAATGAGMCAGAATGAGTGAGCAGAAGGAAAGGCAGGGATGAGGCCAGGCCAGTCAGTGGACACCTGTCCCCCCCAACCACGGCAAGAGGGACTGCCATCAGCACAGAGGAGTCASGGTGCTGTCAGAGGTGGCTATGGTGGGCAGAGCGCAGGGCGCCTCACCTGCTTGAAGAGCCAGCCTGCCTTGGTGACCGGCGCCGTGGGGTTCCGCTTCATGGAGTGTGAACGCTTGCCAAAGGCGATGGCTTTGCGGGATGTACGCGTCGCCTGGGGAAACAGGGAAAGACCCCGGCGCTGCTTCCTGTCCTTCCCTCTGCTCCATCTGCAAGGGCGCTGCCCCCTGAGGAGCAAGCTCTCTCCAGCTCACTCCTGGGTGCCCTCCTGCTGAGACCCAGATGAGACTCTGGGATCTGGTACTAACTCCAGGACCCGACCCTCTTTAGCTTGTTTTTTCAATCTCTAAAATGGGTCTCAAAAGAGGAGTCCTAGCTGTCTCATAGCTTTGTTTTTTTTTCCTTTGGAGGAAAAAAAAAAACAAAACAAGATTTCTCCATCCACTCCTGGCCTGACCCTCTTCCCCTGCCCTCCTGACTCCCCATCTCTTTGCAGTGCTTTCTGGAATCCACTCAACTCTCAGTTAGTGTCCCATGTCAACTCCTGCTCAACTCCTGCTCCTTGTCTCAACCACAGCACCCCACAGAGCTGGGGAGACCGAGGGGTGGGTGCTCTCCTAGCTCCTCACTGTGTGGACACTGTCATTCTCCCATTTTCTGGCAACAGTCTGTCTTCCTGAAGCCCCACTTTCTGGCCTCCCACGASTTAACCCTTCACCATCAGCTTCTAGATCCTTCTTTTGGACTCTATAAAGGGTTTTTATTTTTATTTATTTTTAATTTTTGTTTTGGTACTTGGGATTGAACCCAAGGGTGGTTCAATCACTGTGCTTCCTCCCCAGCCCTTTTTAATTTTTATTYTGAGATGGGGGTCTTGCTAAGTTGCCTAGGCTGGCCTCGAACTTGTGATCCTCCTGCCTCAGCCTCCCCAGGAGCTACCATTACGAGTGTGCACCACTATGCCTGGCTTGAGTCTAAGGATTCTGATAGGAGACATCCCCTTACCCATCCAATGCCCTTGACCTCCTCAACTCCAAAACTCCCCATCCTCTGTTCCAGGTGCTGATGTCCAGACTACACCTCACCTTCGACTGTCAGCACCCCAAGCCACCGTCCATTAACACCTTCAATTCTGGAATTCCCACTTGCTGGTCACTATATTCCACCCTTTGGCCTTCTTCCCCCATTACTTAACTACCCCCAGCTTTTCTATTCCCCTGAGATCCCATTTCCTTTTCTCTGGATTCATCTGCTGCTTCCTGGTTTTCATTATATCCTTCCAAAGCTGGACTCAAAAAAAACCCATCCATTATTTTTCTGCTTCATCTTCTCTGAAACTCAATATTCCAAATTAATCAAATTATCCTCCCTCCCTGTACTCACAGCCAGATTATGGTGCTGCTAGAGGAAGAAAAAATTTAAAATCATACTGCAGAGCAGATGAGGTCACTGCAGACCCAGGGTTCCCAGCCCCAGCTGGGCAGAGCCCCACAGCAAGAGCCCCACACTGTCCTCCCAAGTCCCCCAACCTCCCACCTCGGCCGTCCCCACCCTGGACCTGGCCCCTCCTCCACAGCCATACATGCACTTCCTCAATGCCATACCCTTTTTCCTAGAAAATTACTGCCCTCTTCACTGTCTTTTTTCCTCCATTGTCAACAGGARAGGTATCACCTGCCCTTCCACAGCTGACCCTTCTAGCCCGCCATCTCCCCTGAGACTTTGCCCTGTTGACATCTCCTCTCAAGCCTGACTTCAACGTGCCCTTCCCTGCTGGCTGCTTCTCCTGGCCAGCAAGCCCCAGTCTCTCCATCTGATGGCACCTCTCTCTCATCCTCTCACACACCCCCAAACTCCCCCTCCACCCCTCATCCCCTAATATGGTTTAGATGAGAGGTGTCCCCTCCTAAAAGCTCAAGTGTGAGGCAATGCAAGAAGATTTAGAGGAGAAATGACTGGGTTCCGAGAGCCCTAACTCAATCAGTGGATTAATCCCCTGATGGGATTAACTGGGTGGTGGCTGAAGTGGGTAGGGTGCGGCTGGAGGAGGTGGGCACTGGGGGTGTGCCTTTGGGGTATATATTTTGTATCTTGCAAGTGGAGTCTCTCTCKGCTTCCTGATCATCACGTGAGCAACTTCCCTCCACCACACTCTTCCACCATGAGGTCCTGCCTCATCTCAAGCCCCGAGGAATGGAGCCAGATGCTTATGGAGTGAGACCTCTGAAGCTGTGAGCCCAGCCTCCAAATAAAAATTTCCTCCTCTAAAATGGTTCTGGCCAGGTCTTTTAGTCACAGTAGCAAAAAAAAAAAAACCTAACTAAAACAACCCCTGCCCACTGTAAGGCAGAATCCATTCTCCCTTTCTCTTCAGGGCTGGGCCACTGGGAAGAGTCCACTTTCCTCTCCTCCCAAGATCCCCAACCTTCCTCCACCTCATTTGGAAATCAAAGCCCCATTAACTTTCTGTCCTTCCTGGGATCTTTCAGTTCTTTCAATACCTCCCCTTCCTCTATTCCAAGTGTTGCTGAGCCACAACCAAACTTTTATTATTTTATTTGAGGGTTTTGTTTTTGTTTTTGTTTTGGTGGTGCTGGGGTTGAGCTCCGTGCCTYTCCTGTGCTAGGTAAGCACTCTACACCCGGCCACGCCCCAGCCCTGGAGCTTTACTGGAGCTTGTGCAAGCTCATCTCTACCCACTGCTTCAAGTACCAGCAACAGGATCAAGGTTCCCTGATCTGTATCTCCTAGCGCCAGTCCATTTTATAACTCGTTGTCTGACCAGGATTAAGTAAGAGCGAAGCCAGATTCATTCTTTCTACCCAAACCTGCTATTCTGTATTCCTCATTTGGTGGACAACGCTGCAACCCCCTCAGCCACCCACATCAGAACTCGGAGTCCCTGCTTTCCTGCTTCCTCTACTCCTTCCTACCACCTTGATGTGGGTTGAAAGATCTGCTTTGATGTTGTGTGTTATCAGTGCCGGGGAAGGAGCCCAGAGCGTGGTGTGACTAGGCATGCCCTCTATCCCCAAGCCACACCCTCAGCCTGAGTCTGTCTCCTTAACAGAGCCTCACATCTCTTTTCCCTCTGAAATTCTGCTGCTGTCATCTTGCAGGTCCTCATTTCTTCTTGCTATCCATCCTGGGCAATGAATTGAGGTGATTTTTTCTAAAACACATAGAATCGTGTGATTCTCTTGCTTCAAATTTCTTACTAGTCCTCATCGCTTAGGAGAGAGCTCAGATACCTGAGCACAGCACAGAAGCGGGAATCCATGAGATCCGATAGGGTCTACAGCCCGGCTTCTGCCCCTCTGGCACCCAAGCCCCACCTCTGCTATCTCTTCCTCCTGAACCTGTACTCACCTGGGCTCCCTCACAAAGGGAGGACATCCTCCCTCAGCACCCACGATTCCCAGCCCACTCTTTAAAATCCAGCATAGACTCTCCATGAGACCTCTCTAACCACCCACCCCCACAACAGTTAGCAACTCTGGACATCTGTAGAGTGTAAAACTTGTCACATTGCTCAGCAATGGAGCTGCTGGCTTTCTGTCTCCTCTACCAGGYGACTGAGCTTTTTGCAAAAAGGACTTTGGTTTTGTTCATTCCTATATCACCAGAGCCAGCAAGGTGCCAGCCATAACAAACACTTAGAATATACTTGCAGAGACAGAAGGAAAGAAGAGATTRGGCTTTATTATAAAGTACCTCCACAAGTAGGAAACAAAGTTATTTTCTGGACATTACTAGTGAAAATTCACAGATAAGGGCCAAGAAACGTCATTTGAAGAAGTTGTATGCCTCCTTAAGGATATGCAAATCCCTAAATCCTTCCCCCTTCTGTCTGCCACCAGAGCAGTGGCTTCCCATAGATTGCCTTTCTAGACATTCCCGGGGCCACCCCTCAACACATTAGCCACCTGGTGCCTGTGCCCAGCTTCCCGGCAGCCAGGGGTCAATCCAACACTCTGCCTGCCTCGCCCTCACAGCTGGGCTCTGAGCACTGCTGAAGGAAAACCACACCAGCCTGTGGATCAGGCACACAGATTCTTAGTCTTCAACCTCAGGTGATCCTTCAGTTACCCAGCAGCATGTTCCGTGTGTCCCTGGCTGAGCACCATTCCTGTTACCCAAACGTGCGCTGCATGTTCTCAGGCACCTGACCTGACACATTCCCACGCGCTTCTCCTCTCTACAAAGCACCCTGCTTCCTTCCTTCCTGCAAAAGTGGAGGCAGTCAGGTGGGGACATCTTTAATTTCCTAGACACCCACTCTCAGCTTCACATACCTTTATTTTTGTGCATCTCAGGAAGATGTGCGCTTCCCCAACCCAGGCTAACATGCAGGCACCCYGACACCATGAAAACACGACTTGCCAACCATCCTCCTCTGAACCTGTCTACGGAGACTAATCCTTCCCCTCAGGCCTCTGCCTAACCAACAAATCCCCTTCGCCTCCTTCCCTCTGGTTTCCAATCCCCACTCCACCTTTTCCTTCCATCTGACTATAGTTCACAACCACCTGTTATATATTTTATGAAGCTCTGGAAGAAAGAGCGCAAAGCCTCCAAACATAAAGAAATGGTAAGGACAGGGAAATGCTCATGAGCCTGATTGGATCAGGGCATGCTGCATGTGTGAGCTCAACCACCACATGGAACCTCATTCATATGCACGACGAATATATGCTCATCGAAAAGTAAAAATAAAAAGTTCTTTTTAAAAATACCTTTTTGAAATATTCCAAGCATTTCAGGGAAGTAAGAACAATATGCAATCATCCCTTTGTGTTGTCAGAGCTAACTCTCCCTGGGAAGCACCGGGCCAATCCCATTACCTTTTTCTTCCCTGGAGGTAACCACTGACCCAAAACGAGCCTTCCTGTTCATGGTTATATACTTGGACTGCAGCTGTTCCTATAAATATGTAGTGCCGCTTTTCATATTTGTGCATTTTACATAAGTGTTATATTTTCCATATTCTGCAATTTGCAGAATCATGTTTTCAAGAAGAATCCCTGTTAGTACACACAGAGCAAGTTCATTTTAAGTTTTGGAGAATACTCCATTGTATGAATTTATCATCATCTTAGAACTGTTACCCTTCCACGTGTCTACCTCTCCTCTCCCATCTCCTCTTTAACCCTCTCCGCCTTGTCTTCTGCCCTCATCACACCTCTAGTTACCACCCTGTCACCAAACAAGGCACAAGTCAGCAGCCCTGATCTGGCAGGGCCCCTTTGCAACGTTCTTCCCTGAGACACTTCTTCTTCCTGGGGGTCCCTTACTTTCATCTCACTCTGATTCCCACCACCCATAATTGGAGGGAGGTCCTACTGGCATCAACGGGGCAGGGGCCAGAGATGCAGGTCAACATCCTTCAGTGCACAAGGCACTCCCACACCAATGAGAACTGTCAAGCCCGGAGGCTAACAGGCCTGAGGCTGAGAATCCCAGGTCTAGATGTTGGTCCTCTGCGAGATTCTGGTCTGAGCCCTCTTCCCTTCCCACTGACTGTCTCCCTGGGCCACCTCACCTGTCCGTTGGCGTACAGAATGAGCTGGGTAGGTGAGACTTTCCTAGGATCCCTGAGATCCCAATAAACATGCACTGAAGACATCTCCTGCCTGCTTTGAGGGACTGAACTCACCCGAATGTTGGGCCGCTCTGGAGGGACCTCGGACACCATGTTGTGGTTGGATATGTCACTGTTGGTGGTAGCAGGGCGTTTCCCACCTGTTTTATTGGACATGTCCAAGGCCGATCTGATTTCAAATGGAACAAAAGAAAGAGACTAGTCAGAGCCAAGAAGCAATGGGGGAAGAACTTCCCCACCCATCAAGAGATCATTCAGAGTTTCTCCTCAGTTCTTCTGGGATTATATGCTGGTCATCCCAAATATTCTCTCTCTTCTCTTTTTTTTTTTTTTATTTTAAAAATCTAGATTCTCAGACTCCAGAACTCCTTCCCTTCTAATCTTAAAGGTACAATGGCTTGGTGGCCTAGGAGTCAATTAATTATCCTTTCCTTTTTTTCCCTTTCATTCAGAGATGCAGAATCCAGCGGAGGCCAAATTCATGTTCCGCCCTCAAGGTTATACCAGATTCTCTCTCTGCCTCCTGCCAAGGCCCCTGGGTGCTATGCCAACCTCAGACCTGGCTTCGACTCTTTCGATTCAACCTGTGAGGTGCACCAGGGAAAGGGATGGGGRTGTCAGGAGATGGGTCCCAGAAGCTTCCAGTCTCAGAACTGAGGGACCCCAAATCCCTTCTTTTCCTCCCCCCCCACATCATCCTCCCCACCCCAGGGCAAGGTGGCCATGGGATGGTGGTGACACAAGATAAAAAGGCCACACAGTGAATAGAAGGCAAAACTTACGTTTTCAAGTCGAACTTCTTGTTCTCCTCTGGGACTTKGCCAGTCACTGGGTGACGAAATGTGTTCCGTCTGTCATTGTGGCTGTAGAGGCAACAGTGGGAGAAACTGTGATTAAAATGCGGAGGACAGACACACCAGCCAAAGGGAGAACAGACCCTGGGCAGTGACGGGGACAGGTGACCATGAAAGCACCCCCAAAGGGGGCCAGAAGGAGAACAAGGCTTGAGTGGCAGAAGCTGCTGCTGGGGTGGGGAGGGGTGGGGTGAGGGAAGAGAAAAGAAGCCTGGTCACCAATCACTAGTCACTGTCAGCCACTTACTAGAGCTCCCCAGGCTGGACACCAGCCACACTTAACTATCTCAGGCATGCGTGGGGGGCGCGGTGCTTGAACTGTCTGTCCAACACAGTCAAGATTTCATGCGTGGCAGGTTCCCAAGCAGGGAAGCTGCCTGCCAGTGTTCTGCATAAAACACGCTCCCTCATTATTTGCTGAAAGAACTCTCCTGTGACCTTGGACTAGTTCTCTCCTGCTTTATGCTCCATCTCTTTCTTGAAAGGAAACAGGAGACTCAGAAACTCCATTCTTGAGCTTGGGCCGGGACTCGCTCCTGCTCTGAGCCCAGGGTCCTCCATCTAAGGGCTCCTGGATGTCACAGAGACATTGCGAGCTGTAGGGCATCAAGGTCAGTGCTGGCTGAACAGTCAGATCTAATTAAGGGACACTGTGGCTGGGAGTGGGGTGGTGTGCTATGAGGACAGCCTGCCAGGAAGCACGAACCAGGGGCGGGGTGCAGGCGAGGCAGATGGGGAASGGTACATGGAGGCAGCCTGTGTCTCTGCTGGCTAGCTGGATGTCAGGCCAGCTTCCCRGTGGCCTCTCAGGGGGCATAAGGAGGAAGACAGCAGACAGACTTCAAGAGGGGCTGGGGCAGTGGCCTCTCTGGGTTGTATTCCWTTAGCAGTGACCACCTGGCAGGAAGGTAGTAGCAGACATTTGAGCACCCAGCCTGTGGGGGCTAAGGGAGCTTTAAGGAGCACTTCTCCCACCCCTCGAAAAATACTGTTAGAGTCCAGAGAGCGCAGACTCTAGCAGACTCTAAGAGACAGCATAGGGACTGAGGTGGGGCCGCTTCAGACCTCATGGCAAAGACCCAGTGCTCTGYTCAGCCCCCCGCAGGTCAGCGGTGGGGAAAGAGCTCAGTCGCTTCAGCTGCTTCAGGGAAGGAAAATAACCTTGTTGGCACCTCTTTTAGCCCAGGACACATCTCACCCTTGCGCTGCCTGCTGAAGCTAAAGATAATATCAAAGTGTGTTTTTTCCAGCTTCCAAACTGGTCGTGTTCAGATGTAAGCCAAAGGCACACAGGAGACAGCAGCACAGCAGGTAGTGGCCACGGCCAATGGGAAAGTCTGGCTGTGCAGCCAGGACCCCAAACCTGACCAGTGTCCTCCTGGCTTCTGACTCTAGAACACTGGGAATCCACTCCCCACTTCCCAAACGGCGGTTCCAAGSTTCCAAAGACGATGCTCTCAACTTAATCACAGGGGGTCTTTGCAAGGAAAGATACCTGCCTGCAGTTAACCTTGTTCCTGGCTCTGCCCCTTTAGAAGTCTGGTGCAAAGGCAGTGGTGACAGTGAAGGTCCTTGAGGTGACAACTTCTCTGCTTTCACCCAGTGGCGTGGGGCACTTGTTCCCTCCCACCCTCTGCCCCTCCAGGCCCCTGATGCTCTGTGTGTTCCCGATGGTAAGCTCCAGGGAGCTTCCTGCAGGCTCTGGTACAGACAGACACACAGAAGCAGGCAGGCAGTCAGCTSTCAGCCGTCTGGAGTCTCCCAGGGTACGGCACATTTCTCCCTGCCCCAGAGTCTCCTACCCAGCAACCCCTACAGATGACGTGCTCTCTCCATCCCCACGCTACCAATTTCAAAATAGCTTCCCCTTCAAGGGCACTGCAATGCAGCAACCATTGACCTAACGGCGCTCTCCTCCCAGGTCATCGCCAGCAGACCCCTCACCGCCAAGCCCCCAGACGGGAACAGGGTGAGTGCCAGCGCCRCCGGCTCCGAGTTCACCAGGCTCACGGTCTGTGGACGAGATCCCTACCTGGCTCGTCGGTCAGCCCGAAACTTCAGCATCTTTTTGGCAGCTCAGTCCCCAGTTGGGCAGCCTCGGAGGACCYGCCAGCCACCCTGCTGCTATCATCCCTCTGAGAAGTAAGTCCTCGGGTCCAACCCCGTAATGGCACAGGAACAGCGCAAGTGGTGGCAGGCTGTCTGCTGGTTGCCCCTCTTCCCGGCTCTGGCATTAGAGAACAGGGAGGGGGCTCTCCCTGTGTGATGGTAGGGGTCACCCAGGTGTCCCAGCGGACCTGCAGCTTCCTAGTATCCGGCTGGACTACCACCGGTCAGAGGACTGGAGACTGGATAAGCGAGGAGGGGACGGCATCCTCCTCGTTCAGGTTCCCAAGGAGAAAATGCAGCCACGGAGAGTTGGGGCGTGCACGGAGCAGGTGAACCACCTCCAGGTAGTGCGACCTCACTGAGCTAAGGACACAGAGTGGCTGGGCGGGCGGAGGAGCATGGGGCTGCATTCCCATCTGCACGGCAGAAACTCATGCCAGCTCGACCTGCAGGGAGACGGTGCTCCTGCTTCCCAGCTCCCAGCCCAGACACAGGCTCTGGAGCTGAAAATCAGCTGGCTTCTCAGACACCCTTCAGAGCCTGAGGGTACAGGGTTAAGGGAAGCTCYAGGTTCATTCCCTGTTACTGCTGCCGCTGCTGAGAGGCTGAGATTAATTGAGAAAGTCTCCTTTCTCTTCTCCTCTGCCTACCCGGCCTGCTGTACAGACAGAAGCCACTGGCCTCTGCCCAGCTGCCCTCAGACCCAGCAGCTCTTCTGCCCTCTGGGAGCCGTAGTCCAGCTGGGAGGGACGGGACTTGTGGATCCAGAGTGTGGATGGGCGTGGATGTCGGGGAGCCAGAGCTGATGGCAAGGAACTGGGCTTCTCTGCTCTGGCGAAATGAAAGGAAAGCTTCCTCCCAAGGCTTGTGAGGAAGAGGGCAGCAAATGGGGCTTGAGAAGGGGTCACTGTGTGTTTACTGCTGCAAATCTTCCCAGATGCAAGATGATAAATTCCAGCTGGTGCCTGTCAGATCAACTCAYGAGCAAGGAGGTTTTGCACTGATGTTAATTCCCCTGAATTCCCCAGAAGCCAAAGCTGGTCAAATCTCCCCCTTTCCTAATGTCTTCCTTGTCTTGGGATCCTTGGTCTTCTGAGGACTTCTTGAAGGTCACCTCCTCCCACCCCTGTCTCCAGGCAAGCAGGCTCACTAATCAATGCTCATCTCAATGAAAGCACCTTGGTGGTTTGCAAAGGGTTCTAGCAAAGGACACCCAGGCCCACCCAGTTACCTTACCCTGCCAAGATGTTCTTTTTGATATCAAATTCCAGTTCCTCTGGTTTTCTATATTATTCCATTTTGTTTTCACATGACAGGTTCCTTTCAAACCAATACGGCTCGTTTTTAGCAAGACCAGGCATTGTGTTGACATCATAGTCTGTTGCTATGGTAATTCTGTGATATCACAACAGACACTGAAAAGGAGGGGCTAATCTAATTTTGATGGAGGATAGAACTTGGTCAGGGAACAATGCCATCAGTGAATGGAAAAGCAAATGGACAACATTATTATTTAACCCATGAAGAGTCAAGCTGGTTGGGATATAACTGGGGTCAACAGCTGCTGATGTTTAAACMGCTAATCCTAAATCCAAAAGATCAATATATTCAGCCATTTAGTGGGACTTTTGCAAATGATTCATCCTGGTGACAGGAGGCCTAAGTTTTCAGATCATGCCCTCTTCCTGCCGCTGATCCATTTAATGGAGCCCTGCTGTGGTTGTGCTGTGCTGAGCTCTCTTCTGAGGCCTGTTTTGAGGACCCTGCCTGTGCATAGTAGGTGCTCCATAAACATTTGTTGAATGAGTAAATGAATGAATGAAAGAAACTCTCTGGGCTCTGATTCAGTTTTTCAGTCACTTGCATTTGGAGTTGACATTATATTACCAAGGGCTTCCCTATCTTAGCTCTCTCTTAAAATTAATTACTTCCTCTCTGAAGAGAAGCTCTGTTTCTGCCCCCTCGCCCCCTCATTCGGCTTCCCTGCCTGGCTCCCCCCAGAATATATAGTTTGGCTTGGATCCATCTTCATTAGGAAGGAAAGAAAATTAAGCTCATCTGCACAGGAGGAGGAGGGGGGTGGGGTGCATTGGGAAAATGAGTTTTCTTCCTCTAGAGGAGGCAAAAATAGCCCCTTTCTCCTCAAGCTGAACTCGGGGGCCTCCCACAGCCTGTGCTTAAGTGGCAAGTTAAATTAACTTCTCTCCTGCCCAGTGACGAGCCAGGGAAAGAGGAAGGAGAGAGGCTCCAGGGCTTCCCTGCTTGCTGAGAGCTCCGAAATCCTCAGGGTTGAGCCGGCACATGGAGGGCCCAGCTGGGGCTCTTTCCCTTTATCACTAAACTGCACGGTGCGACAGATTTTCATTTTAGGTTAAACGGCAAGAACTTCCCAAGAGAACATTAAAGGGGGAAAGGAGAATAGGTAATCAGTTTCCTCACTCCTCTCTCCTTCCTTTTGGGATGTCAAGAGGCTTCCATGGCGCAAGGGCAAATGGTGATGAATACAGACCTGAGTGGTCCTCTTGAAGTGCACCCAAGAAAAGCGGGGGAAACCCAGTAAGGGGCATCTGATGTCAGAGGCCGAAGCACTCTACCCTCCGGGTTGCCAGTCAGTGGTCACCGATTCACTGGTCCCAAGAGGTGACCCCAACAGCAGTGCCACCGGTGAAAAGAGTACTTGGCAGGACAGGGCTTCCACGCGGGATCTAGCATGAATTAGCAGTGTGACGTCCGTCACTTCTTGGGCCCTTAGTTTTCTCATGTGCAAATGAAATACCTTCTAATTCTCTGAAAGAATAGCCGCAGACTTTCAAAATGTGAAATGTTTTATGCATAAGACATTAATAGCTAGGATCGTTCTGCAGAAGCACAAATCCTGGGGCAAGCATTCCGAAGTGCCA